CGATTCGTACAGGATGCGTGTGTCCGAGGGCGTGAGGACGCTGTTTGTGCGTCGGCGAGGTCGGAGATTAGGTCGATTACGGCGTTGCGTAGCCCTTCGAAGCAGAGGCGGTCCGCGAGCGCGTAGGCGTGGAGGAGCGTGTAGTATGCGGGTTTGCCGTCTTTGTAGGGCGGTGGGATGGAGCCGGTGTACAGCCATGAGACGAGGAGTTGGCAAGTGCGAGACATCGACGTCGTCGAGGCGGATTGTGTTTTCGGATGCTTCGGCGAAGCGGCCGGTGAGTGCTGCGCGGAAGTATGGCGATTGAGAGGTGAGGAGGGTGGTGTGTATTAGGAAGGGTGTCGCTTTGGGTCCGACAAGGAGGGTGCTGGTGGTGGTGAAGTCGTTTGGGTTGGCTCTGCGTGAGATTAGTGAGGTAGATGGATTATGGCTCCCTTGCATGCGCGTACCTCAATTGCCCAGATTTCGTGCCCGTCCAGGTATACGGTGGTGGCAGACTGATAGGAATGCGATTCGTATCCGACCCGACAGTGCACATGACCTTGAGCGTCATGATTTTGCGCAACACTTCTGCGCTTCGGAACAATCTTCACCAAACGCACACAGACTTTCGAAATGTAGTTGACGACGACGGACGATACGAAATGACTTGATGGGGGCAGCGGCGCACCCAGACTTTGAGGATAGACATGCAGCTCCGCAAGCGGGAAGATCTTTCAAGAGCAGGAATGTGTTTCGGAATGCACCATCGTGGGCAACTCCAGCACGACGAACAAACGACTTCATTATCGTGGACAATCGCCTTGTGGACGCTTGCAGCTGGGGTGATGTGCTGTTTCCGCTTTGTTGTCGCCAATCTGAGGCGAGCAAACCTAGCACCGAATGCGGTGACAAAGGGAGGGTGTGCATCACAGGACTTTGTAGAGTTGCTGTGCAGTAAAAGCCATGAAACATGGGGTTCAAGAAAACCGAAGAGTGGAAAATCGCTTTTGCGCTTGGATAAATACTATGGTCATGGTTGGACGTAAATGGGCTTCCACCCAATGTTATACACATCAAACGCCACGTTCGGGGGAGATTGAGAAGACTTTTACATTAGTACAGAGGGGATTGACATGGAAATTTACTCGACAAACTTCCTGACGTCTGTGAACGTGTTAGCGTTTGTGGTAAATATGGATTTGGGCGGCACGTACTGTTCAACCACCTGATGTACTCCTTCTGCTCCTTGTGGTCAATGTAGTCGGGGATGAAGAGAGCCAGACGGGTGTTGATGCCGCGCTCCTCGAGGTACTTCTCGAGCAGGATCTGCAGGTCCTCGTCCAGGTTGTTGAAGGGAGGGCCAGTGTAGAGGGTCCGCCTTGACCAGTCCTGCTCAGCGGTCTGCGGGTCGGCGAGGTCGGCGGAGGGGAAGTAGTAGAGGTCCTCGATGAGGAAGTCACCGTCCTGTGCAGTTGCCTCAATAGCGAGGGCACCCTTGCCAGGTCGCTCGATGCGAATGCTGGCGTGGGCGGGGAAGCCCTGCTGCTGGCCGTCGTCCTCGAAGTCGTCCTCCAGCTCCTCGCGGTCGGCGGGCGAAACATTGCCCTCGGGTGCGACTCGGACGTTTCCGTCTGCTGTCTTGCCCTGGCTGACGGCACCCTTGGTGTTTGCCCCACCTGACTGGACGTCCATGTCGGCGTCGTCGTAGGCAGCATCCTCGCCCATTTCCTCGTTGGGAACGTTGTTGTTCAGGTCCGCGGTGGTGAAGGTGAGACGGATCTTCTCGTCGCCAAAGGTTCGGGTCAGGACGACTTCCTGGTTGCCGGCCTTGTCTTCGATCTGCTATCCTGTGAGCTCATCATGCCGCGGAAGAAATTGGGCGTGCTGCCTACCTCAAAGGGGCTGTTCTCGAGGTACTCCTTGATGTTTGCCGACAGGTCGTCGTCCTCCTTCATGTCCTCCTCCATGGAGATCTCGCTCTGCAGCTTTGCGACAAGCTCATCGCTGACTGTGATGCTTTTAGCAACGACCTTTACATTGTACCGAATTCAGCTTACCAGCTCCGCTTTCTTGTCTCCTTGCCGAGACGTGGAAAGAAGCTGTGAGTCTAGGAACGGAAGCCCATGATGGCTGGAAAGCGGCCGTCTGGCGGAATACCGAAGACTGCGGGCGGATGGCTTTGGTGGAGAGACGGGCAGCCGAGCGCGGTGCGCTGCGGGCGAGATTCCGTAGACCAAGCATTTTGGCTGGATTTGTTCAATGTCTCGCTTGGATCGGGATTATTCGTCAGCGTCGTGATCAAGAATTGAGGTTGTAATGTTTTCGGCGTGCAGATGGACTTTTGCATGTCCGAGCTTTCTAGAACGACGATGGACCCTCGTCATGAATATCTTGGCACCTCCGAATAACGTCCATCCGGCATCGGCTTGTGACATTTTGCTGACAAGACTCACGATCTGACTCAATCCTGGGGGAAAGTATTTGACGTTCTTGTCGTCCTCAAGACACGGCATTAGAAGTCCCCTTATCCCAGTATACATCGCAATCAAGATCCTACGTCATTGTTTGGAGTCACCCATTGGAACTTTCGGAAGCGAAGCTACGCGACAACGACGCGCATAGCTGTTCAAGTTCCGCGAGTGATCTGGAAGCAGTGCAACAGCTCATAGCTTTGGACCGCAACGATGGCGACGACAGAGAAGAAGAAGGTACTTAGGATTGTGGCCGCCACGAAGACATCCTAGCTGAAGCTCAATAGCCAAGTGCAATGCGCTCAATCCTCGCTGGCGCAACCGCAGGAGCTGTAGAAATCTGTAATATGTCCTTGGACCTGCCATCTTGAGCTTCAGCTAACGGGCTCTTCAGCTATCACATACCCCGCCGAATGTACGCAATTGAACCCTTGACTACCCGATTATCGCACCTAACCATCCTCAGTCGCAAAGACCCGATCGCAACTCAATAGAAGATTACCAGACGGAAAGAAGCTGCCATGGCCGCCGTTCGGCAAGCAATGGTACGCAGGATGTACGACTCTGATCATTGGCAATTCACTGAAGGCCGGCATAAGTATGGCGACGGAAGGGATTACATTGCGTTCGACTGCTGACGAATGATACAGGATTCGTCGCATTCGATGCGTATAAAGATCTACTAGCAGATGCTGAAGGCAAGGTCTCCGGCCCGGCCACTGTCATAGCCGGATTCGGTGCTGGAGCAACGGAGTCATTGCTGGCAGTGACGCCGTTCGAGAGTATAAAAACACAACTGTGAGACTCCTCTCCACGAGGTCCGACTTCATATTGATGAAAATCCAGAATCGACGACCGCAAATCCGCGAACCCGCGTATGCGAGGCTTCCTCCACGGCTCCAAGATCATCGCGCAAGAAAAAGGCATCCGGGGCTTCTTCCAGGGCTTCCTTCCCACGACCGCGCGACAAGCCGCCAACTCCGCCGTACGGTTCTCGAGTTACACTTCCCTCAAGCAGCTGGCACAGTCATACACTTCGCCAGGCGAGAAGCTGGGTGCTGTCAGCACATTTGGACTGGGAGGTCTTGCGGGTATCATAACAGTCTACACGACTATGCCCATCGACACTGTCAAGACGCGCATGCAGTCGATTGAGGCGAGTGCGCAGTACAAGAACAGCATCGATTGCGTTGTGAAGATATTCAAGCACGAGGGCTTGCTCACATTCTGGTCTGGAGCTGTGCCGCGATTGGGCCGTCTCATCCTCAGTGGTGGTATTGTGTTTACTATGTAAGTTTTTCACTGACTAGACAAATCGTAATAATTACTGACTTCCGCAGGTACGAGAAGTCGATGGAGCTGATGGACAGACTGGATCCTCAAGGAAGGTACATCTGAGCGCTGTCGAATTTGTGTCTGAACATTTCGTTTCAAGATTATGGCCTTAATGCTTTGATGCCCGATCAAGAGTCTTTGCACAGCAGCACCGTCCATAGAAGTGCCGAGGCCGTGTACGATAGCAACGCTGGCGCAAGAAGATGTGAAATACACACAATTCAATAATAGGCATCACATCAAGATACACGGTCGTTCCCTCACATGAGCCCTTGCCAATCATTGTCGTGAAGCGATCCAAACACAGGAGCGTGTTTAACATGTCGAGGAAGCGGGACGAAGGAATATGAACACACGATCAGGGTACGATCGACATTGTGAAGCCGTTTATCATTCTAGTATGCAAGACTATGACTCTGGGTATCTTCAACAACACACAATCACTCCTCATCCGACGGCTCCTCTACCTGTGCGACATCCCTCATAAACCCCCCACCCTTGACCGTATCCGCGACCTTCAAAATCCAAAACTTCTTCCCATTCAACAAGAACACCTCGCCTTTCTTTCCAAAGCATATATTCGCCAGCCCACCAGGAACGAGCACTTTGCCCAACAACACCCCGCCGGGTGTCCACACACTCAACCCATCCCCACACGCCGCATACACATTGCCTGCGGAATCGCACTTCAACCCATCCGGCACGCCCACATCCGCCATGGCAAACACGCGCCTGTTTGTGAGAAACTTCGCCTTCCTGCGCTCCTCGACGTCATACGCATATATCGTCGACGCGCGCGTGAAGTCGATATTGCCATCACCGTGGATAAAATCCGTGTCGGATACATAGCAGACTTTTTCAAACGGCGAGAAGCAAATCCCACTCGGCCGGCCGAAGCCGTCGGCGACAACCCTGACGTCGCCCGTGTGCGGGTCGAATCTGTAGACTTGGTTGGGGAGTTCGGGGGGCGGGCGGATGCCCTGGTCGAAGCCGTAGATGGGGTCCGTGAACCACACGGAGCCGTCCGAGTGCATTGCAATGTCCTTGAGCGAGTTGAAGCGGCGGCCGTGGTAGTTGTTGAGCACCATGCGGGAGCGGAAGGGGTAGTCTGATTCTATAAGCACCAGTGCAGCGGGGGTTTCGAGGTCGCCTTGGGAGCAGAATAAGACGCCGTCGATGGTTCCGTCGTTGAAGGCGACGCCGCCGCTGGGCATGCGGATGTCTCGCGGGAGCTGGTGGCGGGACCATTCGCCGTAGAGGTTGCGGGAGAGTTTGCTGATGACGATGACTTTTTCGATCTTGCCGCGGCCCGTGTCGAGGTCGAATTGGTTGCTGGTGACGAAGACGTGGTCGTGTTTTGGTGAGTAGATGCCGGCTTCGTAGGCGAAGGGGATGTTGTCTTGTAAGACGAGTTTGAGATCTGCGTGGGCACCGAGCATTTCGTTGAATTTGTCGTTGTATACCAGGAGTGTGGGCTCGGCCATTGAGAACTGAGAGCGAGATGTTGAGAGGAGTCGTTGTTGCATAGATACAACGTTGCGCTATAGTTTCGTCAGCTTGAGGTTCATATGTAGAAACATATCTGAACCGTACCTTGATCCCGCTGGCAGTAACAGTTGGCCACGACGACATGACTGGCAGAAAATTACCCTGCATTAGATTCTGTGGGTCACCAGGAGGTGTGAAAGTCTGATCTACAGCACTCGCAAGTGTACGAGGCGGTCGTGCAGGCGTTGTCCTCGCTCTTGGTGGCATACCCTTATCATTAAGCTCATCGTTGAGGGGATGATTATGCTCTGAACATAGACATGTTACTCTCCAACCTCCACCTTGCTGTGGTATCATCTTGGCTCTCCAGGGACATCCTGTCATTCGAGTCGCATAATGCTTTTGCGGCACACCTCTTGCTTTATAGACTTTTGAGCGCGCACATTGCAGCATCACACGGGTGATTTTCTTCTCTCCTGTCTTTTGCGGAGTGTAGGACTTTGTTCGTGATATGGCGATGCCAAAGCCACAGTCTCTGCCCAATGCAGCGCGTATCTCCTATGGTAGAGTATGTTAATGGGTAGGTCACGTGTATCGTATGGAACAGAACCTACCTTAAGGCCATCGTGATAATCTTCTGAGGTCACAAATGCAGGCAGTGGACCTGATATATATCCGGTTGGGGGTTCCTCCGTGGCGGTTTGAAGTTGCTGAAACAGCGGAGAAGGGTTTAATGGCTGCTGTAGTAACGGCTGGGAATGTAGTGGTTGTGGTAGTAATGGCTGAGCCATCTTGGGTGTGCGAAAAGCATGTGTGGAACCATAGCTCCCCAGATCAAGATGCGCTTGTCATCCGTGCACCCCCTCTTTCTTGCATCACCTCGCTTCGAGCCACCCACGATACGTCGACGTCTTCTGTTTAAGAGTATCCACACGTTTCCTCATTCATATATTCTAGACGAAACGTATTTGTGCCGTTTCCTTCAGTGTGCTTACGAGGAGGCCGATGTGCTTGAAACACCCTACTCAAGCTGAGTTGTGCTTCGCGTCGCATCCTCCTTCAGCACCTGGATCTTAGCAATGCACTGCGAAAGGCATCGCGATCTAAGATAGATGTAGACAACAACTCAACGGACAGAACGGACCCCGCGGATCGCGTCAGCCGTGGAGAGGCGCTTCCTCTTCGCGTCGACCCTTGGCGTGACGCGCCGGACGTGGTATTTAGCAATCGTCATCCATATGCGTAGAGGGGCCTGAACGTCCACAGCGTGTCGCCATACACTACCATGTGTTACCTAGACGTCATGCTGCTGCTTTTACGACTCCCACCAAGCCACTCGGGCTCGCTGTGGTACTCTTTCTCCGACATTACATGAGCTCTGATCTCACCGTTACGTCGATCTCCACAAGCCATGTCTGCTCCACGAGTACTTCTACGTGCAGCTCGCGCTTCAAAAGCTTTACCAAATAGCAATTTTCGAGCGTCAACTCGGCCTTCATATTTTCAATCAATACCTAGAACCTTCGCAACCACACCGTTATTCAAGATGCCTGAGACTTTGCACAAAAGCGAGGTTGACGCGAAGCAAGACCCTTCCGTCGCGAAGCAATATGACAGCGAAACACCCAAAGAGCAGCAGATCAAGCAATTCTTCGAGATGGTCGACGGAAAGAAGATTGGCATGTTGAGCACATACCGAAATGGGGTTGGTAAGTAACAGCCTACACCTACCTCCTCGGCCCGAACCTGACATAGCGCAGGACCTGTCGGGCGTTCAATGGCTGTGGCAAAGCGCACCGGTCCCGACTTCCTCTTCCTCGCGAACAAGCACTCCCAAAAGTTCACCGACCTCGACCAGAACAAGGAGGTCCAGATCACCTTCCAAGACTCCAAGACACAAGACTGGATCAGCGTATCTGGCACCGCGACCGTCACCTCAAACAGTGACCCGCGTATCAAGGATGTTTGGAGTCAGCCTACTCGCGCGTGGTTCGGTGATTTGGGTGATGGAACACACACAGGCGGTCCTGAGGACCCCCGCATGACCTTGATCGAAGTCAAGAGTAAATACATCACGTACTATCTCACTGAGGTCGGCTTGTTAGGTTACGCGAAGGAGATCGTTGGTGCTGCTGTGACAGGCGGTATTGCCAACACGGGCAAGCTGAGAGAGTTGCACGAGCAGGATATTGAGAAAGCGAGGTCAATGCAGTGAGTGCTGTCAGACCTTTCGGGCATATTGTCATGTTGAGATATGTAATACACAATGGTGTAACACCTCAACATTCAAGCTTTGCGCCTCTTCTTGTTCCATGCACTTTGACATCGTCCATCTGATCATACCTCAATCTCAGCGCTGTGTGGCGTCACAGTGCAGGTGCTCTAGTTCTTCGAATAATAATATGGATTACACTACGGTAACGTTATCAATGCGGGTATCGTGACTTCAACCAATTGCGCCGGTCATGCCATCTTATCCCCTCCATACTCCATCTTGACACCAAAGGAAAAAGATCTTTGCAAATCTAAGGAATAACGGACGGGTCCTTAGGCCAGTTCGCTGCAAATGCAGTCCAGGGTGTTGCTCGCATCACCATGTTGCCCTGTGCATCTGGGGCGTACAGCTGCGGCTCGTAGCCTTGGACCGAAGCCCACGAAGTGAACATACGTCTCCAGTAACATGTAATCTGAATCAATTAGCGACTTGTTCACGCATACATTGTGAATGCAAACTTACAGCAGCGGGAGTCAAGTAGCGTCGTGCAAACGTTTCATAGCTGTTCCTCGCAATTTCCTCCGCCTCGTCATCGTGAACACGGTAGTATTCCATCGCGTCCTCCAGATTGCCAAAGTTCTTCGAGGCTTCGATGTAGTTGATATCTGGGCCAGAAAGGCGCAGGAGATGGGTGTGGAACTCCTGCCATTCGAGAGGATGTGTGATGAGTGCTGAGCGGCACAGCTGGAGGTACTTTAAGCGGCCGGAGTACGAGGTGCCTTCGGTCTGGACTGTGTACTTGTAACTAGAGTGCGGTCAGATACAGCTTGTATCCATGATCTCAGCTCACAAAACTTACCCGCAAAATTGTCGCAGATTCATGACATCTTTGGTGTGCACGTCTGTTGCGTTGTTGATCACGACAGGCTTAATGTCGCTCCATCTCTTCCCCTCACTGACGCGGACCAGCTCCTTCCGCAGCTCCGCCATTTTGATCTTGCCGCGCCAGACCACCCTGGGGTCCTTCTTGTGCCATGGCGTCTTCTTCTCGCCTTGCTCAATCTCTCTGCGAATGCTGTTCCAGCTGGGTGCGTGTGTGTAGTTCCAGCTCCAGTATGCGTAGTTGGGCATCATCCAGATGTTGTCATACTCTGGAGTATCCTTTCGTGTGTATCCAAAGAACGCGCCTTTCTCTTTAGATCGTAGTGGGAGATCGTCGAGCGAGAACGAAAACTCAATGTTTGGTATGGAGGGATCAGAGGTGGGTGCGGTCGTGATTGCGCGGTCAATCTGCGCAAGCGTACCCAGAATACGTTCACGTTCGTTGCCGTTTACTACGTAGCATTCTTCAGGCTTTCCAGCGTTGACTACAAAAAGCTGCGTGAGGTTAGTTTGAGAAGGAATTGAGACTGGTTGGAACAAACATACCTCGCCCTGGTAAATCATTACCCGCATCATACATCTGCCCTCTACGATCTCAATGTCCTGGATGTGAACTTTCCGTCCTGCTCTCCGGCTGACTGCCTTGTCTAGGCTGTAATATAGATCGGGAAACGCGGAATCGCACTGCTCGTGAGCTAGTGTATGTACATTGGCGTGGGCATCAGTCTCAAATACCCAGTCGCTGGGGGCCCAGGACGAGTAGTTGCTGCTGGATTGGCGCCATATCGACCAGAGCTGGGTCGCGATTACGAAGGAAGATATGTAAAAGAAGAGGTGTGACATAGAAATCCGGTAGCCCTTGGGAATCATGATTGCATAACGAGTGTATAAGAAACAACAACAAGAAGGATTCTCCGAGGAATAGAAAAAAGGCGTACGAAGAAAGCGGTGGTCGAGGAAACAAGAGATGGACAAGACTCGAGGAAAAGAGCAAAGACCTCACCGTCGCCCGGTGGCCCGTTGATACGGTTATCTGCCCATTACCTTTCCCAAAGCGCAGTAGTGGCGTAGAATGCGGCCAACTGGACATGTGAAGAGTGCATTACCTTGCAAGCCCCTGGCCTATCCCTACACGCCAGTCCATAGGCAGCAAGAGACAGTTGACAGCTGCGGCGTTCGGCCTATCAGAAGCTGCATCTGCGGTAAGCGCAATGCTGGCGCCCCGTGCATACGATGAAAAAAGCGTCTGCATTGAGTTCGTGATGTGGATAGGAGAAGATGCAAGTGCCACTTTAGACCCTGAGCTTGACCCGTTCCTGTATTGCCAAGGGCGCTAAGCTACTTACGTCCTTCGCTAATGGTGAGGGGTGGGCTGCTAACGAGCTTACGCATTCTGCGCTCGTAAAGACTGGATCTCGTCGTATTCTCAGACGCGTGTATACGAGGTTGGAGATGATGATTAGCGTTGGACACGGTGTGCTGAACGTGATCGACAGCGAGCCGTGAAACAACAGATTTTCTGCAGAAAAAAAAGCAATCAAGCAATGCCATGGCTGTACAAAAGTCTTGATTTAGGGAGTGCTCGAGCTTGGCGCGAAGAGCGCGGGAGCTTGAGTGGCTTGTTCTCCTGAATCTGCTGATCATTTCACATGCAGGGGTACTCGAAATACACTCGTAGCGTAGCGGCGGCGTGTGTCGGCAGTGGCAAGCCCGGGCCAATCAAACCTATCATGAAGGGCTATTTCTCCGCTGGTTTACGAAAGTGACATTTGGAATCAATCGATAAGAGGATATGTGGTCTATGGGGGGACATACTAGAGCACCCCAGCCGTTCACAGCCCTTTTTCGTTGCCATCCCTCTCAGCTCTGCCTTTCAATCACCTTCCTGACTTGTTCCTCCATTGTTTCAGGTTCCATGAATCCTATCTTGCTGTTGTCACTCTCGGGATACAATGTTTTACCCTCCGTCCATATCCGCCTCAAGGTGTACCCTGTCTTGAACGATGAGTCTGTTTCCCAAGCTTCCTTCTCTGCCTTCTTCAGCTCTTCCAGTGGCATGTAGCTCACCTCCCATGTCCCACCTATCTGCTTCTCAAAATGCTCCAGTACATCCTTAGATGTCACCGTGAATGAGTTGACCTTGAGAATGCGCTCATGCTCGCCCGTTGAAGTCTTCAATGCTGCAACGAGCAAGCGACCAACATCTTTCTCCGTTGTGAAACTGACTTGCTCCTCCCCAGTACCCAGCAGCGTGGCTTTGCGTGCTCTTACGTCAAAGGTACCGGCTTTTGGTTCTGGACTCTTTCCAAAGTATAAATCAGAGTACGGACCGGTCACGAGGTACGTGACTTTGAGCTTCTCCGTATTTTCGCGAATGTACTTGCGTACTTGCAGTTTGGGCTGGTGCGGCTTCTCGGACGCGGAAGAAGCATCATACTCGATGTCGGTTCCATACTCAGAAGGATAGAAGAAATTTATGGATGGTGAAGCTTCTGCGACCTTGATGAGGGGTATCTGAGCAAGAATAGCGTTCCGGCCTAGGGCGGAGATGACAGTATCATAGCCTGGTCGCCATCAGTGAGCTTAAGGTTTGAGTATAATCAGCCGAAACAAAACACACCTGCGCAGGCCTTTGCAACATCTTGCTCAGAATTGACGTCACCGACAATCACCTCGACTCCTTTTCTTTTCCAATCTTTAATCTCCTCTGATTTGTCATTTGCAGTAGAATTTGAAGTGAAGAAGCCGATTTTCTCGAACGACGATCGTGCGTCGTAAACTTCCTGTATGATGTGGCGTCCAATTAGGCCGGTTGCACCGAATACGAGAAGTTTCCTTGGGAGAGAATGGTCCACCATCTTGAAATTATTAGCTCGTTTGAGGTTCTGGAGGAGGAGCGGTCCTCTATATACATAGCTTCTCAATATGGTACACGTAGGGCGCGCGTCGGCCGACCAAGCAACCCGAGTGCGGGGTCGTGCGAACCAACGCCCTACAACTGATGGCTTGCTCTGTGTAAGTTCACGAATCGCGAAGTTTTAGCGAATATCTACTAACTCAGGGCGATGCCACGAATGTATGTCTTACTATTCTTTCGATTAGGATGCTGTGATCTGCTCACGATCCCCATAGTACGATATAAATGGCAGCATCCCAATAGTACCTAGCTGACTACATCGTAGGAACACCCTGAAACGATTCACCCATGCCATAGCTATCTGTTAAATCTATCATTCTTATACCTATGGACAATAACCACCCTCCCGCCTACGCCCCCTATGAGCAATGCCCACCCCCCGCCTCCGCCTCCTCCCCCTATGAGCAATACCCATCCCTCACCCCCGCCCCCCCCCTCAGGGGCCGCCGAACCCGAAATGGGTACCCTATTCCGATGTGAGTGCTCCATCTCTGCTTTCGATAGGAAAACACTAAAGAACAAAGCCCGCCGCTCGAAGTGCTTCGACGACATTCCCGCTCGATGGCGCAACCTTTGATATCTGTTCGATGCCGGAAGAGGAGCTTATATCCTATGGCAAAGTTGCTCCAGCTCTTCATTCGCTGGGTCGCACAAAAGTCGTACGACTGTCCAAAACTCTGGCCATGAAATTTGGGCCCACTGTTCTAGCCTCAGAAGGTGAGACTATGAGATACGTCGCAACGAAGTTACCGGGAGTAAGGCTACCTCGAGTTTACCGCTGTTTCAATGTCAACCAGTCTTCGCCACGTTCTGGTGTCCAAGGCTACATAGTCATGGACTACATAGACAGTCCTTCCCTGGACACATGTTGGGACGAACTCAGTCTCCGTATTCAGCAAAGTGTGGTTAAACAGGTTGCGGCTATGGTTGATCAGCTACAGTCTGTACACAGCGATCGTCCTGGCGTTATTGGCGGAGGAATATCCCATGGCAAGTGCTTCAGTATCTATGGTTCAGGACTGTTCCGAACGAAAGAAGCATTTCAGAAATGGATTGACCGAAAACTCTACCTAAGTAAGCGTTGTATGCAAACCTCGCAGAATACTACACCCCTGCAATGTCCTTACTTCGTCCTCGTTCATGGAGATCTCAGCCCTCGAAACCTCGTTCTAGATACTTGCAACCAGGTTTGGCTGATCGATTGGGAATGCGCTGGCTTTTATCCTCCAATACTCGAGGCTGCTTCTGCGAAACACCAATTTCAGTTCGAATCGTTTTCCCGGCTACTTCTACCGCTCATCTACAACAATCCTGAGGAGCTAGCGCAGTTTGAGGGATGCAGCTTTGGCATTCATCACGTTTTTAATTCCCTCCCACCAGAGATGGAATCGGAAAGCGAGCAGTAGTCTTGCCGGACCGGAGCGTTTCCCCAGCTGTGCGGGCACGTCACTCTCACTCAGCAACATCTTGAGGATTTGTCAGGAAAGCACGATCACCAAAATCAGTAAGAGCAATGGGGCTTGCTATCCTTTGCTTCATGATTGCATGCAAAGCATGGATATCTCTGCAGGTTTACTTTGTTGCGCAGTGTTTGCAATCTCCGAGTAAAGCACTTTGAAAACTGTTCAGGAATGTTCGGTTAATAGCAGCACCGCAAGCTATACCACAAATGACCTCGTTTGCATTTGACGTTTGTTAAGCTCCTAACAAACTCCTGCAGATTGTAATACAGTGCAGAGATGCACAAATACGTGAAAAACATGTCTTTCAGCTCTGGGCTCGGTTTGTTTGTGCTATGTTAGTGGCAAACACTGTGAGGATAAGCCTATATACTCAGGAATAGCAGGCTCCGACACTCCTCAGATCCAAGTAACATCAAAATGAGCGACTACGAAGACATCACAGGCGCAATGAAGGATCTAAACATTGGTGAGCTGACGCGGTACCAACCCTTGATAAACGGCTGCAACACTACTCAATCTCACGGTGGTGGAGAAGAGCTCCGCCTTGCACCTCTCATCTGGTGGGACGTCAAAACCCATCTGGACCAATCTGAGAACCCGAACGATCAGCTCAAACAGTATGCTGTTCTAGGCCACGAATCATCCGCCACATCCAACAGCGTTTACAAGCCTGTCTTACTCAACACCAACGCCCCTTGGTCTTCCTTCCTCTGCGGATCGCAAGGGAGTGGAAAGTCGCATACGCTCTCATGTATGCTAGAGAATTGCATCTTGAGCACACCGAACATTGGCAAGAATCCGCATCCTCTTGCAGGTCTCGTACTCCACTACGATGGTTCACGCGGCAGCGGAGTGTGTGAAGCAGCTTACCTCTGCTCGCAAGTCAAGACGAGGGTGCTTGTCAGCGCGAGCAACTACGGGAACCTGAAGAGCAAGTATGAGGACATGGCCAAGAAATGTGGTGGGACTATTGAAGTGCAGAAGCTGTTGATTGCCACTGATCATCTCGACACCGAGCGGGTGAAAACACTGATGGCAGTGTCGAAGGATGGGGAGATGCCTCTGTACATTCAGGTCAGTAACGAAGTTTCGCATCGCTCTTCAAATGCTAACCCCAGTCTTCTAGACACTTGTCAAAATCATTCGCGATATTGCGATTCAGAGCGGCGGAGTCGGGACCTTTGACTATGGGCGACTGAAAGAGGAGCTCAGGGATCAGATGTTCTCTGAACGACAGAATCAACCTCTAGCGCTGCGTATCGATCTTCTGGAGAGCTTCCTTGACGTCAAGCGGTCGTCGCGAAAGCCTGGATACCCGGCCCCAGCTTGGTCCAAGAGTCCCGACTATCTGAAAGGTGCTCCCGGTGAGCTTCTCATCGTGGATCTGACTGATCCAGTTGTCGACGTTGACATGGCGTGTGTTCTCTTCGACACATGTTTGTCCATATTTCTGGCTCAGACCAAGTGCGGGAAAGTTGTCGCACTCGACGAAGCGCACAACTATCTGCTCGCGGAAAATGCATCTGCGAAACAGTTCACCGGCAAACTTCTCAAGACCATACGCGAGCAGCGACATTTGGGCACGCGAATCATCATCGCAACACAAGAGCCAACTCTGGACACATCCCTGCTCGACTTATGCAGCATCACTATGGTACACCGCTGTACTAGCCCTGCATGGTTTGAAATTCTTAAGAAACATGTCGCAGCTCTATATCTCAGTAGTGGTGAAGGCGCTGATGGTGTTACGAAATCTGACCAAAAGTCGACCGATCGAACTCTATTTGCGCAGATTGTGGCGCTGAGGATTGGCGAGAGTCTACTGTTCTGCCCCACCGGTGCGATGAGGATGGAAGGTGAAAATGTTGGGAGAATGTTGGACGGCTTCATAACGTTCCGCACAAGACAGCGGCTCACTGCCGATGGTGGTGCGACCAAGCTGGCTTATGACACTTGATGGAAGGGTTCGACAAAACCACGAGCTGGTATGGTTTGAGATGCCTCGGTCCTGACATGATAAGGATATGGTTCCAAGTAGTTAAATCAGAGTCTAGTGAAACTTGAAAGCTGTTCATATGTAGACTTTCAAACAATGAGAAAGTGTGATTTGGTTCCAGTTGGTTCGAACTCGCTTCTCATAACATCTGTGCAGTACCTGAGCCAGCCGATTCTCTCGAATTGTTGCAATTCACTACCCTCTGGAAAGCAACCTTGATCTTCTATAGGCCGCAAAATCATTCCTGCAACCCAGCAGGGTTCGACATCGTCAAGTCGACCACGATTCTCTATACCAAGTACACAGAACACCATATGCTGGAGCATCACTCGTAGGTCTTCTCCAGACGACCAGAATCTGTAGTCAGCTCTGAAGTCCGCTGTTAGTGATTGGAGTGGTCCCGGACCAACTTTGTTAACGCCTCGATCCTCGAAATCATCTGGGTGTGCCGAGTGCGAACTCTCGAAAACGACCGTGTCGCATGATTTAAGGTCAGAGTATTCTCCGCTCTTGAGGATCTGACAACGTCGGACCCACGAAAGTCGTTCTTCTAGCTCTGATTCCTTCGGTCGGGTATGAATGGACAGTGTGAGAAGGATACCAGAGACTGAAAGAGCGGCAAACATTGGTTTTTCTGGCCGCTTGACGATCTCGCAAAGATGGAAAAAGTCACTCTCGTAAAAGTCTGTCCAATCGAGCTTGCTTTCAACACAAGACACCCAGGACCAGGAAGGGCTTTCCCGCGGACGTCCTATAGAGGCCGAGTGGCCCCAGATAGACCACGAAAGATCTTCCTTGAGTGATGAGACCCAGAGGCCGTGGACGTAAGGTCCTATTTTGAAAGTTCGCTGTATAAATTTGTCAAGCAGAATGAGGCAGTAGTGAAGAAATGGCATACCTGGAAATAGTTCGCCAGTCCGGCTAATGCAGGAAGCTTGTCGTTCGGATAAGTCAGTTCGCGCGTAGCATATTCGGATACTAAGCTTCGCCAGACACGTCGGTAATTTCTTTTAGGTATGGTCATGAGTATCTTGGTCCCTGAACAACCTCTGAATCGGGGTACCATGTCATGGTGACGAGGATTGAACGGCCCATAGGCTACCGAACAAGAACAGGCTACGTCTTCCATGCATTCCCATAAGAGCTCTTTGCTACCAAAGCATAGGTATCGTCGCGAAAGAAGCCGTTCTTGAAAGCACCAGCCTCTTCTCATGAGAGGCAATACTTCTTTGGCTGGAAAGTCAGCATCAGGATGGTCAATACTATGGCGCACATAAATGTTGCAAAGCTTTCCGCCAAGCTTCAGGCTGGAGCACTGTGATTTCGCGTAGGAGCCCGAGGGAAGGGAAAAGAAGCCGCCATCATCGTCGCTACTCGCACCTGCGGCCAGAGTCAAGTAAGAACTTTCATAGATCGACGCCATTATCTCGACATGTTTTTCCCAATCAGCCTGGTCATCCTGGATAATGCAAAGTGAGTCGATCCACAAGTACTGGATTCCAAGAACTCTGGAGATGTCGATCGCGTCGCTAAACGTCTTGGGCAGCTCTGAAACCGGTATACCCACCATGTTGGTAGATAGGTTGGCTTCGTACAACGTATGTTTGGAACGGATGCTGCCCCAGCAGTGAGAAAGACAAGCATAGCGCTTCGTCGTCTCCGATGACTGTATGACGAGTTTAACGAATGCTGGGTCAGAAGAGTCGACGTCAAGCAGCCTTGTAGGGGTATATGAACATCTTGCACCACATTTGGGATGATTCCGTCCGCATGCTGATAGCCAGGTTTATATATAGGACAAGCTGTGTTCGAGATGGGTACTTGGTGGTAACAAGCTTGCGACCCTAACATGCATGAACGAAGGCTCACCTAGCGGATCGTAAGCAATGACACGTCCATTTGAAATTATCTAAATGACACTGACCAGGAAGCGTGAAGACGTCTATAGCTTGACCCTCGTAGGACTCTGGAGATTCTGTGACGATGAGGACGCATAGAACATCACCGGACTTGTTAAAGTTGAGGTGCGATGCCGCCCGATCAGTGCAGCTTGGATAAACCAGCTGCCAAACTTCGCTCATCAATCTGCAGCCATCGCAACCTCCTTTGGCGGACAACATCACTTCGTCAAAGTCTTCGAGACAGACCTCATCAGGGTCTAATGAGGACTCAAACTTTGCCTCCGACCACGAGGGGTAGAAACAGATGTTGCATTCTTGAAGCGTGACATCTGGGATTTGCAGTTCAACAGAGGTATGTTCGGCCATCGAAAACCGACGTTGCAGCATTGGTGTTGAAAAGTGGCAGAGTTTCACGACGGTTGAGGAAGCGCTTTACAGGAGCCAACCACGCGCGACGTAAACACGCTAGCTGATTTTGGCCAGGGTCATTTTCCTGTGGCTGAACAGTCCGTTAAAAAAACACTTCACATAACTATACTGTAGCATAGGGATACGCTAGGTACGTTGGGACTACAGAATAGCATTAGTACAAAATAAATGACCAGTAATGTTTCTGCCCTTCCACCACTTCTTATGAACTCTGTCTTACGCTGACTTGTTCTAACCAGTCCACAGCGTTGGACCCGGCGGCTGATAGTCGCCTGGGTTAGACACGTACTTGCCCAAGTCTACCAATATTCCTGGATCAGTGCTTTTGTAGGCTCCTGGCAGAGCAGCAAGTGGACTTGGCTGACCACTGCCTCCGTCCGTTATTTTGACTTGCGTACAGCTCAAGTAGAACTGCGCCTTGTTCGCTTGCATTGCCATATGCAGAGCGATGTGCTCGACGCGAAGGAGATAGTCGCCATCAGGGACAGTGACCGGGATGGTTGTGTTGGGCGTTTTGTACTCATCTGGAGCTAGTGTCAATTATTTCGAGATGTTGAGAAGCTCGAAGTGAAGACTCACTTTGTCCTGGCCAGCTCATTTGCTTTTGCGCGTTGACGCTCGGCTTTGTTGTGCTGAATCTGAACCATACTGCGCCACTGCCATCCCAAGTCTTGACATCCGCGCCGGCCGGGACTTTGGCTAGATAGTACTGCGTTGGCCCAGGGTGGTTCACCTGTTGCGTGGAGATGTAATGAATGTTGGCCCCGGCGGGTACAGTCATGACGTTTGCGGCATTTTTCGATGAGTAGCAGCGTATGTCAGCGACTGTAGGGTTTTCGATGCCTTGCTTCGTGTTTGCGTTTTTCGTCTGGCGTGTCGCTGACCAGTCTTTCTCTTCACTTTTCCCGTTCACTACCAGACGAGGAAAGGTATCTAGGATCTAGGATCAGCAGTAGCGACTTACTGTTTGATAGACTTACAGTGGGCTTGTACTGTCGTTATGGCTAGCAGAAGAACTTTGATGAGCTGCATCGTGGTCAATTGTGAGTATTGCCACAAACCTTCTTACCATCAGGGTGCTTTTATGTAGAAGCAGCGAGCATGTGTTCACAACACTATACAAAGCGTCTTGGGGACTTGAGCTGTATATTGGTCTGGTTATTTACACTCTTTCATCGGCCTATAGCGTCTTCCAGTGATATTAGCGAACTACGATTTCATGACCGTGACCAATCAATACCACTATTCAGTACAAGTGACTGCCGGAGTCATCTACGGGACTTGCTCATCTGCCTGCTGTAGCACCTTGGGTGGAGGCATGACTGCATCTCCACTCTTTGATTGGAGAGCGACATTTGATCTCAAATCACAAACAGGCACTCAGAGAGGGAAAGGCAAGGTGGCTGGCGATCCAAAATCACCCTCAAAAGGAAAAGTTGATTTTCCCTATAACGCTAATCATTACAAAAAGCTTTCAAAGACGAACAGAACGTTGAGCTTGTGGCTGATTTCCAAATCCGACTAGTGCATAAGGCGGAACTCGGGGTGCCTGTAGCCCAGATCTTTGATCTGAGCTGGAGTGGCATTGAGACGATGATCGCGCTTGCCGAGATCACGCTGCTTATTCTCCCACTTGCAGTACACAATTCCGCCAAGTGCTAGAATGAAGACACAGATCTGACCGCAAAGGTTAATAGTATGGCCAGTTGGGTATTTCGGAGCATCAGTCGATATGTAAGTCCTATAAAGCGTTAACTGATGTTGACATCTTTCTCGTTCGATTGGAAGACTTACCAAGTGGATAGGATACCACCAGCTGTTCCAAGTGTGACAACGTACGCCGTTGACACAGATCGTATGGCTGGGCCCGCTGCATTATTCGCCGCCCACGCCAGGAAGCCAGGACCTCCAGGGAACGCGCCAATCGTGATCAAGAAAATCCCGCCGTAGCGTAGGTTAGGGTCGGTACCCCATCGCATGATGGCGAAGCCCGCGATAGCAGGCAGCGTGAAGATGGCAAGGTAGATACCACGGCGGTTTGTCTTATCTGACACGAATGCGACTGCGATGGCAATAACACAAGCGCAGACATAGGGTGGCACAGAGTACAGCTGAGCCTTTGTAGCTGTCCATCCGAGGTCTTTCAAGATCGTAGGCTACCGATGTCAGCAATTGGAATTGGATGACAGAGAATAACTTACCATGAAAAGGGAGATACCCTGAACTGTAATGTTGATAAAAAAGAAGCCCAAGGCGCAGAAGTAGTTGGTAATGTTCATCATGGCACGCTTGACGTGGTGAACCTCTACCTTCTCGTTCTCATCTGCACCAGTCTTTGAAATGAGCCTCTGAGTTGCAATCATGCGTTCGCGCTCGTTCAAGAACCAGCATTCTTGAGGGCTGCGGGGCATTAAGAAAGGAGAAGCAATGCCGACGAGCACAGTGAAGAGACCCTCGAAGAAGAAGATGTTGCGCCATTCGTGGATGCGCATGGAGCCAATGCCCCATTCAGGAATCTTAGCAAGACCAGTGGCAAGGAGACCACCAAAAGCGCCTGCCATCGAAGCCGCAGAGACGTAGATACCGATTCGGAAGAGCAACTCGTTACGCTTGTAAAAGCAAGTAATGAAGAAAGCTAAACCACTAGTCGAAAATTAGCATCATCTGCGAGTGTAGAAAGGAGCTTACTTACGGCATAACACCTCCTTCAAAAACACCAAGGAAAGCTCGGGCGACCAGCAAGCCTGCAAAGCTATGCACGAAAGCAGTGCACAGGGAGACGAAACCGAAACCAAGTACCAACATGGGTAGGTAGTATTTGGGTCCAAGAAGTTTCAGCAGAATGTTGCTAGGCACCTCAACGAACATGTATACGATGTAGAACACTGATGTGACCCAGTTGAATCGCACACCAGTGTTCAGGCCGAGGTCCCTGCCCATGCCTTGGATACGGGCATTTCCGATGTTTGTTCTGATAGACATGGTTCAGCAATTGACTCCATTCGCCGGACGAGCTTATCTTACCGGTCAAGGAAGCAAAGGAGGTATAGAAAGGTTGTCAGTGGCACGATAACCCTGTCAAGCTTGCGGCGAACAGCCGTTTCCTCCTCTTCAGTCCAGGTGAATTCATTAGTGGATCGATCGCTGCTGTTGGCGTCCTCGTCTAGACGTATACATTAGCTTGATGGTGTTTCTTGGGTATCAAGACAACATACAAATAACGTTGTCTCCTTTCTCCAAAGTCACGGGGTTCCGCTCGTGGCTGATTTCAGTGGTCGTCATGCTGGGCGTCTTCGAAGATACTGAGAAGAATGCAAGAGTCAGAAGCGCGAATTTTCGCGGGTGTTGAGCTGTGGCCCCACACGTTCCTTTCCGAAATCTGGGGAGAGAAATCCGGGGAGGAACACTGGCGATATAAGAATGGAGGTGAGCCGTTACGGACTGTCTCGCGACAGCACTACCAATAGCAATTGAGGCGTCGTAGATGGTGTGGAAGAGGGAATCGGCAGTTGCGTAAAGGCCATCCAAGGTCGTCCATCCGGACTATGGCCTTTTCTAGAGCACGCTCCACTTTGCTCTATTCCTCCTTTGATATGGCGGATTGATTGCGCAAGGGCACTTCATGTCGCAGAGGTTTTACCGAGTCCACAGAAGCCCACTAATCTGCACGGCCATGCTCCAACGGCTCTCTCTTTGGTTGGCACATCGCGGGGCCGTCTTGGCTAACATGGGACGAGTCGTGAAGGTTGCATGGGTGGCGAAGCCGAGGACTCGCGCGGCGGTCATTTCATGACGCCTCTGCTTGGCAAGCGGGACGGAGGGTCTCATGTCTCCACGGCAAGTACAGCGACTTCGGCAGATGATAGCGACAACGATGCTTCGACAGCTCTGCTTTGCGAAGTAGGAAAAAGCGTCCCGCCAGCTAAAGACTGGCGTAAGAAACGAACTGCTCAAATGAACGGGCCGGACGCGGTCAGACGGCCGGCGCAATCGGTATTTTACCCACAGGCTTATTAGCATCAGGTAAACGAAGTCCTCAACATCAGCTCCAAAAAGTTGGATCAATACAGTACCTTCTGCATCTGCACATGGGTGCATGCATGGAGCAGATACAAGGCTACTGATTGGGCATGGGTTCACCTTCCAACAAAAATGACTCGGCGACAATTTTCCATGCACGTAGCATCGATTTCTCACTCATGCACATTCCAGGTTATGTTCACTCCGGGTAGGCTAGATAGCTAGCTAGCTCGAGAGGTCCGGCTCATTATCATCTTGATTGCTTTGTGATGGAGCATGTTGAAGAGCCGCGACGTTGTTATTGAAGTGGAAAGGTGGGGCTCAAGTGTCCTGAACTTGGTGATCAAGCATGAACAGCTGGCTCGTAAGCGGTTCCTGATGCATCGGGATATCCTCGTCGGAAAGCGGGCGTGTTACACGGTAAGGCTGATTAATGGTGGTGAGCTGGAGAGGTCTTTGCAGCACAGCATGCAAGTGCGCAAGTGCCAAGCCGACTGGACCTAGGTAGGTGTGCAACCCAACCTCTACAGATCGCTCTCACTATGCACCGTTGTTGCAATAAACGGCCAAACTCCAGTGGAGCTTGAGAAATATCTCTAGATATGTTTCCTCTTCTCGCAGTCACGAATGCGAGGTTGCGTCGACCGAAAGTATACGTGCTTGCTATCACCGAGACACTGGTCCGACGTCATGCAACTATAGCGCAAGTCGGAGTCCGTGAATCCAGAGCGGTGATCCTATAGAACTATGGACTAATTACACAGTACCCTTTACGCCTTCCTAGAGCACATGACAACATTCCGTCTGCGTTTTCTCAACTTGTCTGAGATGTGTCACATTAACTGCAACAATGGAGCTAATCGTACATCAATTCGGTTCGCTGCAGGGTAAGCCTAAGCCTGATGGTCCCAATAGTTCGGTAGGCGTGGAACTTGGGCTGAAACTTAATTCTGGACGGCAGTTATAAGTTCAAGGGTACGATGAGCCTCATCCTCGGTTCGGGTAATACGATTCGGTTCTTCATCACGTGAGTTACGCCTGAAGCTATGGGTGTTGAATACGGCAGTGGGAATTCGTAACATCATGCAATAAGCAGTTAACAAGTTATATGCTAGTGGGGTTTCCGTTCTCCTTCTCACCTAAGTATTGAGTACCGCTTTTCTCATCCGAATGATATTCGCTTTCGTCACAGTCTGCCGCGTAGCCGGCGACTCCACCTCCAGCAGGCTTGAAGCTTCAAAGTTGCGTAATTGTCAGTTTGATTGTGTTTCTCGTGTTACTCACGGCTAGACGATACGGCTCTCTTGATCTGCTCAGCACATCTCCCCATCAAATGTCTCCTTCTGCGATCACTATCGCTAAGCATCTCGGTTGTTGTCAGAGGTATCTGTCCTGTGCCCAGCCCTCAAGCTCCGGCCAAGAAAGGATACCTATTCCCTCTTGGTCTAGAAGTGCCGCCTTGGTGGCTACGGTCACGCTTCTCATGCAACTCTTTCAATCATGTCATTCCGAGCATCGCACTGAGTCTTGAGACCGGCACCCTGGTTCCTAAGTTTACGTATTCTCATACGACATTCACAACTTATCATGACTATTTTGCATGCCAGCATATATGCTCAGTTCAGGTGTCGCAGGTGAGTTTTCGAGTGACATGTCAATGAAAGCTGTCGGTGGGCTTCAATTCCAGCTTCAAGCCTTGCTTCAAAGGAGGTGGATCAACACGCTGTCCGTTACCAGCCTGCTTGTTCCTAGCAATGAATGACAAATCTTCATCCATCCATATCAAACTCTCACCTCCTGGACCTCGAAAACCGCAACCAACCATCACAAGGAACGAAGCACTACTACATGTGCACTACTCACCCAGTTCTCTACCGCTGTCGGCACCCCAAAACGACCCACATCCACAAACTTCCTGGCGACGAATGCAACGATCCTAGCATTCCCGGCAAACCCTGGGTTCTCGAAAAGGAGTGTCCTTCACGCAGGCGCAATACGCAGAAAGTCAACAACGAGGCTGAGGGGACGAGCATCACAAAATCGAACGGGCAGACGAAGGCATACGAGGTTCATGAGAAAAAATGTAGTGAGCAAGGCCAGGTGTATTGAAAGGAAGCTACCATAGGCGAGCGGCCTGGTCAGTGAAAGAGAACAGGGCCCGGCCCGATAGGTGCAAACGTTGCAGTGGAAAGCGGAATATAACAAACGAGCTGATCTCTGAACACATGGCTGAATTCAATTGATGCCACGTTTCCGAACCAAGCGCAATATATGGTCTGTATTATGTATGCGATTTCCAAATGTCCTTACTTACCAAGGACATATCACCATTATCATGCAGACATGCTGCGCCGCCTTCACATTCTACACCATTGAAAATGAAGACTCACACGCAGCTTCAATCACAAATCCGCAATCAAGCAGCCAAATCACCCCCTTGAAGTCAACCCCCTCACCCACAACTCTCCTCAGTCATAATCATCTGCTGCATGAATTTGCTCCACCTCTCGCAGCCTCTTTCTCCACACGCCTCTCGGCACAACAAATATCACAGCACCACCATACTACTACAGATCACAACGATATGTGTGTAAACCACATCCAGTTTCTCTGTGGCCACGACGTCATGCGGAAGCCTTTCGGCTGCGAGGACCCCGCATGCAATAGGCTCAGATACGAGAGGCAGTAGCGCAAGTATTGGGTATGCAAGGTGGATGATGAGGAGAGGGAGGCGAAGGAGAAGAAGTGAGAATGTTAGTGGAAGGACTGCGTTGAAATCGTAAGATATTTGTGGGGAAATGCAAAATGCACACTTTGATCAGTGCCGATGCCGTAATATGAGAATGCAGTTCATTTCGCCAACTATAATACCGTAATCATGGTGAAAGTAAGGATATCATGTTTATTCCATGCCGTTTATGCAAATCTCTCCAGACCACCACACTCCCTCACCCCCTCACATGCTCCTGCAGCAATCCTACGTGCTAGAGTTCTTCTCGCGCAAGAAAGCCTCCACATTCTTCTCCTGAATCGCATCAATCTTCTCATCTATCTCCTTCTCCTGCGGACTCTTCGCGCGCACCGGCTCCTCGACCTTCTCCTCTGTCTCCTTGTTGCCTGTCACGGCACCAACGACGGTTCCTGCGACCGCGCCGACAGTCGAAGTGACCGTTGCGGATGCGGAGGCGGCGGCGGCTTTTGCTTGGTCGACGTAGCCTGGGGCTGCGGGCTGTTCTGGCTCGGGGAGGGGCATTTCCTTGGGTGCCTGGCCAATGGTGTTGGGCTCCATTGTCACCGTCTTATCGCCATGGCCATGGTCGTTGATTGCCGCGTGCGGTGTGCCGTCTGCGAGCTGGCCGGATGCATGTGTTTGGTCTTGCTGCGCGTACCGTGTTTCTGATGTGCCTTGCCTGATGGGCAGAGTGAACTGTTCTGGCGCGGTGGGTGAAACGATCGAGGGTGGGTTCGAGGCGGAGGGAGTGCTTGAAGGTGGGGTTTCGTCGGTGTTCTCGCCGGCGTCAGGAGGGTGCGTTGCTGAGCCGACTGTGGTGAGAGGGTCGCCCTTCTCGAAGGCTGGTGTGTTCGGGTATGGTCCCGTCTTCCATCCGACTGGCTTTGGGATGGTGAAGACCAATCTCCGCCTGGGCTGTCCGTTCTCGCTGCCCACACCCCACGCTTGCATTGCGCCATCAGGACCCTCTTCCCACCGAATCGGTCCGATGGGGAATGTGTTCTTGCCGTTCTGAGTGTCTGGGTTCTCCCACTTGAGCACTTCGTCAATCGCAGGTTCTATGTTGGGCATGGAACCCCATTCAAAGTCAAGTCCGCCGCCGTACTTCTTGGGAATGTTGTCGTGGTCGACGTATTGCAGAAGAGTGCTGTAGACGTTTGCGGGAGAGAGAATGAAGATCTTGGAAACTGTGATTGGGTCGAACCATCGCTTGACCCAGCCCCAGACGGTCGGGAAGAACCCAGGTGCGCCCACGATCTGTCTCGAGTCAGTAATCTCTTCTTCTTTCCACATGGGTGACTGTCCAACATACAAATATTCTGTCTAGTGTCTCGGGGTAATGTGCCGTCGCCAGAACAGAAGCATCTTGCATGTGGTTCTTCAGATTCCAGAACTGCTTCAGTCCAACTCCACTGATATCTACGATGTTGTTGCTCTGCGATATCGGGGTTTCGGGGTGGCTGCGCGGGACCATGGAGCACAGCGGCGTCACATATCTGGTCAACGACTCATACAGGGCGAAGAGTCGCACGTTCTTGGTCAAGACACCAGGGACCGTGGTCTTGGATTTGGCGAGGTTCTTCTCGTATGCGGAAATGTTCTTGGTGTTCAGCGGCGCGACTTCGAAGAGGAAGAGCGGAATGCCGCGCTTGTCGCGTCGGCCGAGCCATTGGGGGTACTACGAGGCTGTCAGATGTGACAACCCAAGGCGTAAGCAGACTCCATACCAAACGGCGCGTTTGCTCGAACTCCTCTATCTCGATAGTTTCGAAGATCTGGTCCAACTTGTTCTCTTTCCGCCAGTCTTCCGTGTCTTTGAACTGTTTGAATGCTTCTTGGGGTACAAAACGACGTGCGCGCAGGTATCGACTATCAGGCTGTCAGTGCCCCGCAGGTGCGCGCCTCAAGCTTCAAATTTGGCATACAGCAGGGTCTCGTCGTCATGGCTGGCAGCCTTCCCACCGGCGGCTGGCGTGTAGTACTTCTGCTCCAGGCAAATTTGCTTGAACGCGTCCAGCTTCTCTTGCTGGTTTTCTGTGAGATGTGAAAGATGCCCAGCAGGATATTGCATCGACTCGATGCGCTGGAGTTCCGCCATGATCGCGAATAGGTAGGCAGAAGTTGGAGATAGGTACTAGGGGTATCGTGCAGGTGAAGAGTCACAAAAACGAAATATGTGTGTTCCTAGGGCGTCATCGTGTCTATGTTATGCGGCGGATAGCGGCAGTGATGTCAGTTAGCGGCGCGGCTGCATCGGCCTCACAAACAGCGACGTTCGGAACGACCATTGGCAATCCGGACCAACAATGGATGAGATGAGGCGCCCGCTGTGGCTACTGCTGACTGTTGGCTTGGGTGCCTTTCGCAAGCATTGTTCACGAAAGGATCTTGCTCTGACACGGAACGTGGAAGTCATCTCCGCCGCGTTCCGGAGCCGGGCAAAAATCAGTTGCTGAGGTTAGCGGGAGCGAGGTGATGGATCTCCGTAGTCTCTGTCACTTTGTACCACAAGAATTTAGAGACGGGGAGTATCCCAAAGTATATATTATTGGCAAGAACTGACTATTGCTTGTACAAGCTAGTGTGACGGGCATAGCGCGACCATGGCGTGGATATGTCCGAGAAAGCCAGCCTGTTTGACTGCGTACTAGACAATAAGACAGAGTGCATCTTGCAGTAAACGTGGCTGCACAGTAGCATCAACATATCAAATGTGTCCGTCTCAAGGTGCGCTATCGCGCTATCTGGATGCCGCGGCAGTAGATTAGATAAGCGAGAGCGATGAGCGCATCGTTCGTTGTCACTCACATTACCCAGCGTTGACGACATTTGCCCTCGGAAGCGAATGTATCGCCATTCACATCAACTTACCATTATTACTGTAGCCTGAGTCTCCTCGCCAGTCACTAATTACTGACCCCGTACTTGAACAAAGTGTAGACTCTGTACATCTCACAATGCCTCCGCGATCTTTCACAGACCTGCCAACTGAGATATTGGAAAGCATCTTCCTCAACCTCGACCCATACTCTCTGATATCCGTCTCGCAAACGAACAAGCCTATCAAGCAGATCAGCGCCGACTCGCCCATCGTGTGGCGGCACTTGTGCCAGACGGAGTTCAAGACATGGGACGCACGCCACAACATTGCCGCAAAGCTTGCTGGCCCACTGTCAGATGTTGAATGGCGGTCACTGTACATTCAGAAATCGATAGTTGGAACACGAACGAGGGAACTGTTGAACCACATCGTGCACACACAGCACCAGCGAATAAGATGCATCAATGAGATTGCAGACTATGGATACGATGCGAAAGAGGCGTTGTTGCGGGAATTGAATTGTCCAGACAGTGCTTCGGATGTACTGGCGAGACGATACTACGCGAATGCTATTCTGGAGCGTATACATCGCGAAGTTGCGATCCGGGCCTGGACGGACCTGCATGACAATAAAGATGTGCCACTCGAGCGGGCACTAGGCGCATTTGATGTGTTTGCACGAGTTGGAGAAGAGGTGGACATGGATGTTATCGAAGGTGCTATCGATCAACTCGCCAAGGGGGTGGTTGACCAGTACCCTGACTTTGGCAACTTAAGTCCGCGGGTGAAGGCCTCGACACTTGCCACCTACCTCCGTGATCAGGGCTTCAGAGGGGTACCAGACTCATCCTACCGTGCTCTTGCCAACTCATTCATAGGCTTGGTACTTGCATCTGCCACTCATCAGTCTCTGCCGCTCATTTCAGTTGCCATATACTGTGCGCTTGCTCGTCGCGTAGGCCTGGATGCTCGGCCTTGCGGCTTCCTGTACCACGTCTACACGCTTGTTTATGCTCCACCGAACCACAATCTCGATGGAAAGTACAAGCCTTCGAGCTCTTCTCAGCTCGAATACATGTACCTTGACCCATTTCGCTCTTCTGACGAAGTGCAACTGGGCGATCTTCAACGCGTGCTGCGAGATAGGGGTGTACCACAAGCGGAGCAAAAGCACTTTCTCACCGATACAACAACCAGGGAAATGGTGTTGCGGACAGCACGTAATATCATGAACTCAGTCCAGACGATCCGACAAACCGAGGCAGGACTACGTGGCATTCAGGCCTCATGGCTCAACTACACACCCGACATGGACAATGCCTACTACGCGACCATCTGGGCGATGATGGTTCTTGGCCCTGCGCATGAAGTCCCTGGTCCTACCTCCACAAGTCGCAGGCGCCAGTATCTGCCCTATCTCCTCGAACACTTCCAGACGCACTTTCCGTGGGACGTCACGCTGCTCGAGCAATACGTCATCCCCATGTTCTACAACCAACCTGAGGGACAGCGCTTGCTGCAATTCGTCCAGTCCATGCATCAAGTTGATGCAATGCGGAAGCCTGTTTTGCAGCGCGATGAGAGGACTGCGAATGTAAAGTTCAAGATTGGACAGCTGTTCCAGCACAGACGGTACCACTACGAAGGAATCGTTACCGGTTGGGATGTCAGCTGCGATGCCGGAGAAGAGTGGATCCAGAACATGGACGTTGATCACTTGCCCAAGGGGAGGAACCAGGCATTCTATCATGTGCTGTAAGTACTGATATGCGCTATATCCAATGACTTCTACTAATTGAGAACAGAGTCTGTGACAAATCGGTCCGCTACGTCGCCGAAGAGAACATCGAGCCCATGCCTCCATATACTGAACCCTCAGAAGGTATCATGAAGCTTGCGGGCCGCCACTTCAAGCGCTGGGATGGAGATGCGCACATTTTCGTGAGTAACGTTCGCGACGAATACCCCGATGACTGAGAAGCTTGCTTGTCAGGATGTCATGGCGGAATTCTTCGGGTTACAGACCTGACTAAAGGAATAGGTTGGATACGTGCCGGGATGGAACTTTTCGGCGGACTTTGACGTTGGACTATGAGAGGATCGCAAGGAATGTTTAGGTTAGGTTACGAAAATGATGTTCCCATGTTCACTAGACGGTTGGTTCTTTGCTTTTGTGATTTGCTTCTTCTTCGCCGTGTCATAAAAGGATTGACTCACAACTCGGCTTCAACAAGGCGATCCATTTCTGTGCCCACCAGTTGTCGCATGACACCTCTGAAAAAGCTATTGCTCGAAAGATAATTCCTGGAGCGGCTTTCGAGAAGTGTGAAAAAGCTGCTCGTACCATTCGCCCCTGTCCCAACATTTCGGCGAATCAGACGCCGCGCTCCCTACAAATTCTGCAAGTGGCAATAATGTTGAGTGAAGTTAGCTGTGTATTAGTATATAAAGCATAGTCCTGCTGTTTTGTAAGGCCATTAAGCAATATACGCTCATCGTCAAAAATGTAAAACATTTTTGTTGTTGCATCTCATTGTCTCCACACGTTCTCACAGCGACGACTAATGCCAGCCCCTCCCTCCCTAGCACCACGCACCCCTCTTTGCATCATCCTTCCGATTCGCCAAACTTCCCTACGTCACATGCCCCTCTTTGCGCGTTCCACAGCACCCAAATCCGCTTCCAGTCACGCCCTATCCCATTTCATTTGTCCAGCATAATAATCCCAAGAATTCGTTATCTCTCCATCAATCAAACACACCATCCGCTTACTAAGCCTAAGCGTGCATCTTCGATGGTCTAGGTTAGTTCTCTTCCTAGTCCGCTCACACGAAGACATCTAACCGTGTTCCAGTGGTCATGATTTCCGGTTCGTAACTTGCCTGTGCAGTTCATCTGGGACGTCACCTAACTGTGAAATAGCTTGTCAAGACTTGTCTAACAAGCGCGGGAGACCGGGGTTGTAAGTTGATTCAAAACTCGTTGGTTCGAATTGTGTTCCTGACATTCCTCAGCGATTCCCCGTCGGAGAGTCATATGCTACAAGCATCCTTTTTTTGGTGTCTTTTTAGACGTGGGCAGGAGTGGGGGGGGGGGGGGCAGGAAGGCGGGGTTGGGATGTTTTTGGCTAAGTGCGTGACGTAGGTAGGTAAGACGCAGGGAGGGATGATTGGCCTCGAGGGAGGCTGGGCATTTGAGGTAAGGCAGGAGGTTTTTTTGTCCAAGTCCGGATGGTTCACTTTCATGGCAAATTGATTGCTTGATATTTCATGTTTATGTGTTTGTATTGCTGCTATTCCATCACTGAATCTCTAATACCCTCAGCACATCCTCGAGATCCTCGCTGTCCACCACCTTATCCCTCCACACTTCCTCGCTGACGCGCTCCGATTCAGCAAGCAAGCTGAAATTCGGACTCGCCTCGACTTTCAGCCACTTGAAGTCATCAATCTCGCTCCAGTGATTCGCGCTTTGTAAGGTGGCTGGACTAGCAAACATGTCTGGCATGGGCGCAAACCGCACGTTTTCACAATCTTCGATGATGGGCCGACTTGCCGAGTGCAGGTATATGTCGACTTTCTTCGAGCCGTGCATGCGGAACTGTCTTGTTGGTACCACGAGGACACTATTCTCAACATCTGTGATGTGAACGGCGCCTGCGACTTGGCCGCATATTATGACCGAGTCCTTGATATTCTTCAGGTATAATGCGGAGAATGGCGCGTTGGAAGTAGCGGCTGAGAGATCGATCACGCAGCGGCTTAAATTCGAGATGGTGCCTGAGCTTGTGGCATGTGACGCTGCAGCTGGTAGCTTCAGGTGCAGGTTGTGATGGTTGGTTATGGTGACCTTGGTTGCTTGAGACAAGGACGGCCTTCGCACACCAGGTCCGTCTTGTATACCGTCCGCGATATCCTCGGTGTGTTCTGTAGGTACCGGCTGTTTCGCATTCTCGTTTGGTTTCGACACTCTCAAGGACGCGCTGTTCGATGCATCGGCTGTGGTTGACGTAGCGAGCTTCGAGGATTCCGTTGCACCAGCTGTCGAGCTAGCGGGCGCGTTCTTGCGTGCCTTGAACGAGAACTTCTTCGGCGGATTGAAAGAGTTACGCGCAGTTTGCAGCTGTTCCGCGAGGCCCTTGATTTTCTAATCATGTCAGCTCGGTCCCAACGACAAGCAACACAGGTGTGCGTACTTGGCTGTAGCTTCGTTGATCGTAGGCCGGTATGTAGCTCGCAGCGTCTTTGACATCGTGGGAGAGTCGATCTATGCCAGCTAGGCAGTCGTCGATTGCTTTGCTGCGCTCGCTTCCAGATGGCGACAGCGTGTTGAGTCGTTCAATTTGCTCACGCAACGCTGATTTGGTCAGCCATAGAACTCGACTTTGGGTCGCAAGATATACCGGTGAGTTCGGTTTGGAAGTCGCGATAGAAGCGCTCCTTTAACCCAAGTTCACCTTGCGACTGTGGGGCCGCCATTATGTGCAGTAGGCGGAGGTATAGGGTTGCTCGCTCGAGGACTATGTGAACATATCTAGCTCTAGGGGCTACGCGTAAACTGGTCGGATGTCTGATCAAGGATGAGATGTTGCAGGTGAGACCGTGGAGTTATCTAGCGAACTGGTGGGGTGAAGAAGGAAACAGCCTGGACGGCCGGCGAAGACGACATGATTGCGCCAAACCAGATTCCCACGAGCAACTCAGCGTGCTACTGAGGGTGATAGCTTATTAGTGTATGCTTACGCTCGAGCATTGGATCGGCGAACTTCAGCAAGGTGAGTAAATGTCTTGTTCGTAGAAGCTACCCCGCAGTTCTTCGTACCATCAGGGATCGCGCGCTCACGTGTCAACTCATTGCACTTTCGTAACGCGCATGCGAAGAGCGTGCCGGAACATTCAATGCATGCGTTGTGCTGGTAAGAAATTTGGATACTGGTGTTCTCGCCTGCACACGCTATCCTGGACGATACTGCAACGTACCCGCAAAATATAGGGCACAGCTGGAAGCAATGGGCAACGCACTTTGGATGATATATACATACACGAGTCTGAACTGGCCGGAGGTCCTCTATGGACGACTCGAGGTGGACCATTGGCTGCTGAACTATAAGAAAATGGCGAATCGGTGCATCTAGCTTGTCTCCTGCGCGGCCTTGACATCGATGCCGTACTTGTCCATCAACCGCTGTCGCCTCCTCTCTTCGTGGCCAGGCGCATAGATTCCTGCACATGTCAGTCGTATGCCTGTCGGAGACAATATCGGTATGCTTACCTCGACCCTCGCCCAGCTGTTCAATGGTTTCGGAGAGTGGCCGCCTGCGTAACTTCTTTGCAGCCTCCCTGCGCTCGACCTCCTCCTCATCTGTCTCTGCTGTTGCGCCCCTCCAGCCGTTGGTGTAGCGGAATGCAGTCATGGCGACGGAGGTAGCAGCTCCAGCACCGAGCATGAATGGAAGGCTTCGCTCTGATTATTGTTAGCATGGGCCTGGATGGGAAGATGATGCACGTACTGTAGACGCCGAGACCCATGCCTCCTACGAATCCCGCAACGGCCTCGCTGTAGCAGTCGTCCTTCTGTCGCAAGTTGCTAGTCGCGTCTTTTGTGAACTGGTATGCGGCTCCCACTCCGGCTGTACATTCAATTAGCCCATATCCTCCCCCAACATCCCTGTGTATTCTCCCACGCACCGTACAGGGCAATTATGCCTCCCGACCGGGTGATGATGCCCATGGCTCCGACATTCTGCTTGCGTAGGGTGTTCTGCACACCGGCTACGATGGCGCCGACGGCCGTCAGTTGGAGGGTCGTGCTCGCCGTGTTTGCGAGCGCATCCTGGGCGTGGAAGGTGGGCGTTTGGTCGGCCATGGCGGGCGAATTGGGCGTCGATGTCTTCCTGCGAGCGCGCACGACGGTGGTGAGGTTGGCTCCGAATGGCTTGGCGAGCAAAGTGCGCTAAGCCACAAGCATGCCACCTGCATCATCGGCTGCTTTGGTCGCAACTCCCTCGAGACTTCGAAGCGACAGAAGCCCGGGCAAGCTTCACGTATGCGCCGTTTGAGTGCCAAACATGCGAAATTAGTACCATAGACTCTGCCGCCGGTCAACCGCTAGACCTCCCAAGCCACCTGCCGCGGCGTGTGCGTGACGAAGCGCATGGAACGCGCTCGTCACATTGATTGCCGCCTACAATGCTGTCGAGCTGCTAGACACACGCCCAGTCGCACTTTCTGCATTTGACGTCCACCGCCTTCCCCGTGCCTCGTCTGCGATTGAAGCTGTCATCTGAACCCCTCTGCAGCTCCAGTCACGAGCCTCTATAACCCATCTACACATCCCAGCATATTCATAGCGCGGCTATGGCGCCTGGTACAGTTCCCGCGCACCTGCACGACAGGTCCTGCTAACCACGGCTCTGCGCAGGCAAGACAGCGCCGCGGCTGCTGCAAGACCTGCTCACATATGACCCCAAATACGAAGAACGTGCCGGCCGGAACATCCTCACCTCTGCGCCCCCGCAATATGACCCGAACCGCCCACCAGTCCCCGCCGTGCCCTTCCGGAGCTGCAGACATGCGCTTCTGATCAAAGATGAGCAGTCTCTCCTGCCGACTGCGGAGAAAGGATCCCGATGCGCCAGACGTGCACAAGATTGCTTCGTACTGCCCGCAATGTCGCTGGCACATAGACGTGGTGGTCGACTGCCGTGACAAGACTGGGAAGACACGTAGATGCAGGACGGCCGAATCCGACTTCCTCTGCACCACTTCGTGTATGATGATGATGAGGGCTAATGGAGCTGTTGGGCTGGGATCTCAACACGCAGCTCGCAAATACACCTTCACATGCTCTGCAGTGGATTGTCCAGTCAAGGTGCACATACACATGAAGCCCCCGCACCTTTCCGAGAACGACATCGAGACCTTGACAAACAAGGCGCAGCTGCGAAAGAGGTGGGAGGATGCAAAACGGATAGCGGGCGAACGTGCTGATACCGTCATGGCTCGGAGTGTCGATGGGCTCGACTACCTCAACACCTACCTGCTTGACGCCCTCAACCCAGTCAAGGGCAAGGCGCGGATCCCGCTCCTCAACAAGAAGTTCCTCAAGACTTTCGGCAGAGATTGCGACTCGATACTCCAGCGTCTTGGGTTCACGACCGAGCTGGAAGTCCAGGGTGATCCTTCCAGTCGAGTATGGTACCTTCCACGACCTGCCGAATCACAGGGACCTCTAGAGACGACGCTGCGCAACACGATCGAAGATACCCGCTATGAGTTGAACACCATCATCCTTAAGAGTCCAGAGAACGACCGTGTTGGCGCACCAAAGAACCCATTATTCCCTACACCTGCAGGAGCCCATATCGAAAGAGCCCTGGCTTGTGACAACTGTATGTGCTCTTTCAATTTTCTGGCGCTCACTAACACAGCCAGACGACAGAGTCCCAGGCCGCACTGCGAGTACGAACCATGAAGAAGACCACCCGTGAGTTGATCTTCGCATTAGCAAAGACAAAGCTCATCAAACAGCAGGTGTTATGCCGCTCTTGGTGCGGTCGGTGATTTTTCGGACGCGCTAATCTTGTTTGCGTTTGCTCAGCAGATTGTTGTCGATGTGGAAAGCCGCTCCTACTATTACGAATGTCTACAAGACCTCGCCGTTGGCCGCAAAAGTGAAGAACTGCAAATACAGGTCGCCACCTACGGTTCGCAGGGTTTTACAAGCAGACGTGAGCTTGACGCCGCATACAAATCCTTTGGCATCGAGCCAGCACACGCCAAACACCTCAACGACGAGCACATCATTGGCACTTTCAGATCAAGACTTTCCGACATCAGTCCACACATGGCCGAGGATGCACGCAGACAGCTGCGCATCATTGGTGACGCACGCAACAGCGAAACCATCCGGGCGGAAGCTTCCGATGCTTTGGAGACTTATGAGCAGGCATTGTCATGGCTAGACCTGACGGAAGAAGTAGCCGATGACTTCGTTGTCACCATGGTCTCTCTCAAGGTACGCTGGTTCCTCATCAATAATATAGCAGTCGCTATCTGCTCGTTGCGAAGTGCTGACATACTTTAGACTGGAGACAAGCTTGGCTCACTCGATACTGCCCGCAAAGCTGTATCGATAATTGCAGAACACCGAAATAGCAGCCGCTTACGCCAATGGCTCAAGGAAGGCAGTATGGATCAGCCCGAGATGGATATGGGCGAGGCATATGCCCTGTTCTCTATCAGCGATCGGACTGCCAAGGTCGACTTCGACGTCATGAAGACCACAATAGCCTTTGCGCCACCAGAGAGCGCCGAAAAGATGCAAAAAGCTTATCAAATGATTGAGCAAGATCAGGCGACAAACTTCAACAACAGATCGAATCAATCAGAAGTGCGCCGTAACGACTACCCTCTTGAGACCTGGCCGGTTGGTCTCCGGAATATTGGAAACACTTGCTATCTCAACAGCGTCCTTCAATTTCTCTTCACGATCAAACCGCTTCGAGACCTAGTTCTGAACTGTGACGAGTACCTCCAAGACCCATCACCAGAGGCCTTGAGGGGAAAGAAGGTCGGCCGTACCGATGTGACCGCTGATAGGGTAGAGGTCGCTCAAAAGTTCATTCGCGAGTTACGGACTTTCTTCAATCACATGATCACAGCGCCTACAGACACTGTGCAGCCAGCGATAGATATTGCTGCATTGGCACTATGCAAGACAGACACTCCGCAGTCGGAACCGAAATCACCAGGCCCTGATAGCAAGAAAGATGATAGTTTGGGTTCAATCGAAGGGGCACCTGTGATCGGTCCAATGCTGGCTCCCGCGAATGACAGCGCACTCGCTGCTACATCCACCGCTGATTCCGTCATGGGAGATGATAACAGCGACACTTCTATGCAAGCAATGAATCTTCAGGGTCCGTCGCAGGATGCCACAAGCGCACCACCAGCTGCGCCTACTCGGCCGCCTCCTATTCCTCCCCGACCGGCGGTGCCTACGAAAAGCAAAATCGGAAACATCGAAGAGAGTGCCCGGCAACAAGATGCTGCTGAAGTCTTGGGCAACATCTTTGATCTCTTCTCGTGCGCTATCAAGGGCAAGGGTCTTTTGCGTGAAGATGAACAGCTCGACATGATCAAGGAGTTGTTCTTCAGCGATGTCACTTCGGTCCGCAACACAAAACCAAAACCAGAAGAGTCTCACGAGCTTCGCGACCACTTCTTGGTGTCGCCCGGCTGGCGAGATCGCAATCTCTATGCTACCCTAGACGACGATTTTGGTCAAAGTGAGATGGAAGGTGGCATCACGAAGTATGATTACATCCGACAAGCTGCGCCTGTTCAGATCATCAACCTTCGAAGATTGCAGTTCGACAAAGAGAAGGGCGAGCAGGTGTATGATCGCTCACACATTGGCCTAGAGAAGACGCTCTACCTGGATCGGTACCTGGAGAAGACACAATCGCTGCCTCAGCTCGAGCTCTTGAAACTCCGCGAAGCACAATGGGAGAAGCAAGGACAGTTACGGCTTTATGAGCAACGTCGGGACGCATTAAGGCGAACGGATGTCGAAGGGCTGGACCTCGCCGAGTCTGTCGACGAAGCCAGTGCCTTCATCGCAGATCTGAGCAAACAGTACGAGGAGCAAGCCGACGACGCATTGCCAACGCCGCCACCCGAGCTCGCCGATGCCCTCACCGAGAAGGCACAGCTCCTGAAAAAAGACCTTGCACAAATGGACGTACAGATGACTTCACTCGAAGCCGAGATCGACAGTCTCTTCAAGGAATCCCGCGATCACCCGTACCGCCTGCACGCCGTATTTACCCATCGTGGTGGCACTAAGGGCGGCCACTACTGGATCTACATCTACGACTTTCAGAACAACTTGTGGCGCAAGTACAACGATGACCACGTGACACTTGTTACCGAGAGTGATATCTTCGACCGCGAAATCGCTGCTATGCCTTCTGCCAGTACGGGTGTTGTGTACATCCGCGAAGACTTGATCCATACCATCACCGAAGCAGTTCGCAGGGAGCCATTACCAGTCGAGGCCGAAACCCAAGGCGACGTCCACATGCGCGACGCAGACGATGCGATACCGCAGCTTGAGCCCGTTGCGTACAATGACGTGCAGGTCATCGACGGGGTTGAAAAGTCGTAAGCAAAGCAGCGCATACGCTGCGAGCTTTGCGCGCTTTGAAATCCTGACATCTGCTAACATGTGTTGCGCGACAGTATATCGCCCAACAAGAGACGCAGAGATGCCAGCCGAGAGTTCAGACGCATTGTCCGAGAGCTTCAGTTTCCATCCCCGCCGGATGTCGATGATCTGGCGGGTACGTTGACCAGTCTTTCTGATATTGCGGAGCAGTATAGGCGGGGAAGACGCACATAGCGTGGCTCGGGGGTGGCTTGATATGGAGGAGTGCTGTGGTTATTGTTAGGATTAGGATTGTACATAGGTACTGAATAATGACAAGAAGAGACATCCAAAGCTTTTGACGTGATGTGTCCCGACACCACTGAAGCTATCCACCTCGCTATGCCACAGCATCCGATACCGCCAACACTAACACCAGTCCCCCTTCAAATCGCTCTCTCCATCTGCCGAGATATACTGCGTCTTACCCGTCCCCCTTGCCCTTAACTTCTTAGCCCGCTCCTTGAGCTTTTTACGAAGGCGTTCCTCCCGTCTCCAACTACTGAAGTAAATATCAGCCCTAGACTCAGCCGCGTCCTTCTCTTTTACAACAAGTTCATGGAGCTTGAGAAGCGATCGACGCGCCAGCGAACGCATCACAGAAACTCTTGGGGTAAGTGGTCGGCGGTAAAGCTGGACGTTATGAATTCGGTGTACAAGTTTTTGCACGCGGGTTTGGAGGCCGGTTTGCTAGAGTATAGGATTTGGATCGAGTCGAGGGCTGGGTAGTATAGGGTCCCACTGAGGTGCTTGTTGCTGCTCAACAGCTTTGACGTTCGGCGCAAAGAGTCACGATTCGTCTTGGTTGGAATTTCAATGTGTCCTTCCAACTATTTGTACACTGCTGATATTGACTGGATGACTAAAAAGGCGACTGAGTCAGTAGAACGAAAAGAGGTGTTCTAGTGTCAAGGCCATTACTGCGCGTTTTACTTGATGGGTGATAAGCTATCTTCATTGCTGTGTGTTGAAGTTATTTGAGACACAGACCTCAACAGCCCATGCGGATATGATTTCCAATTCATCGATTGCTGATAGTGATCAGTCACTGTCAGTTGCATACGACACAGCGCGGCTACTGCCGAAGGGACTATGCACCAATCCCCGTTGAGCATTTGCTTTGAGCTGAGTGTTCTCCCTCAACAACGCGGCCATTTGTTTGCGAACATGTTTAACATCTTCACCGGCGCATCCTAACCCTTCCATGGCAAGTCGTAGAGACGTATCAGTAGCCTTTTTCTCATCCAGAACGTCCTTGAGAGTCTTGGACAGAGGGCGCTGAGTCAAGAGACCGAGAGACAGATCGTGGAGAAAGTCCTTGGGAACTGCATCGGACTTCTCCGTGACGAAAGCGAAGGTGACGAAGTTGGTGTACAGAGTTACGAGGAGCTTGCGAGCTGGGCTGTGTTCAGGCGTGCCTTCGTAGATAATTTGCACGGAGTCGATGGCGGGATAGTAGAGGATCTTGTCCGAAAAAGGCTCCTGCGAGCGCGCAGATATAGCAGCCAGTATCGCGGTCTTTCCGTCTTCGTCCATGAGTTTCTCAGCCAGTACGAAGAGTTTACTCAACGTGGCGTATTCGTCGGCGACGATAGATGAGTCGTCATTGCCGCCACATGCTGCGTTTTTGACCGCAAGTGTACCCGTCTACCACAGCTGATTAGCATAGCGCGCAGCATTTTGGCCGAACTCACACGTACATAAAGGTATTTAAGATAGACGCGAAACACATCTGGCTCGTTCTCTGACAAATTGACGGTACGTTCTTCCGACTCTTTCCACGGGCCTTTCACAGAGTTGCAGAAGAATTCGCTGCGTGGGCAGATGAGGCCCTCGTGCACCGAGAACTCTTCGAAGTTGGGCTGCGAGCCAACGAATACCCGGATGGGCAATGAGTCGAAGTAACTTGCTCGTTAGCTTCGGTTGTGGTGGATAAGGCGAGGGGATATTACTCAGGTTTGCTCAATGCGGACACACGGATGTCTTGCTGGTCTAGCACTGCCGCATGGAAGTCGGGGATTCGGTAGTAGACACACGAGTTTTTATGGAGGGAACATATGTAGGCGACGTTTTGGAAGCTTTCGTTGTTCCAATCGGACGATTGCAGGTGGACTCCGCAGGCATGGCAGCTCAAGACTTGCCCAGGGAACTGCTCGGAGGCTGGGTTCGAGTGAAACCCACTCACGGATAAGTTGATAACGGTCTGTTGTTTACGGTCTTCGGCAGAGAAGAGAGTGTCAGTAGAGCTAGCCCAAGGTAGGAGCAGGACATCCTCAAAAGTGTCAATCCGAGTTTGTAGCTTGCAGTAATCCGGAATAGAAGACATGGCTCCAGCGGTTGAATGAGAGGACAGTGGAGATACCCACACAACATGGGAGAGGTTCAGAGCTATTTGTAAGAAGAGGCTCATAGTCCTGCGCTTGCTAGCCCAAATTAGGTGAGGTATTCAACCACGCGTTCACTGACCTGAGACACATAACTTGTTCTAGTAACGCCGTTTCACTTCTAGAAGACCTGGAGAAGTGAACTCACATCAAACGAGTAGTCTGCCATATCCTGTTGTTCTGTTCGTTGCGTTGGAGCACTGGCTGACTGCATTCAGAAAATGTTCAAGCCTACAATGCAGATCAGCAGTGTATCTGATGCAGGTGTAGCACATGGACACAACGACATATTGATCACCGTTGTCTCTGGAGAAACCACTAAATTCTGTCATTTTCAATGCTTATCACCCCCTTGTTAGACATTGTGTCCTATAGGATAGCTCACCATGCTTAACAGTTACGCCTGACATCACCATGCAACACTAAGAAACGGGCAACGGCTCACAGAACGTTCGAACAAACACATTCTATCCGCTATTGCACAGGACGGCACAATTGAACTTCACAACGACACGCTCACAAAAAGGTTCAAGTCCAATGCATAATCAAAATAGCTTCTTTAAGCAGTAAGGGTATATATGTAGGAGGTTCCGAAAGAAAATGTAAAAGCAAAACAAGATAAAGAAGATCATTACGACCTCGTTTCAACCAGCCCTCTAGCGATTCAACCTGTGCCAAATAGCGTCGTTTCAATCATCTAAGCAGCGTCCTTGTGCACATCCTGGTCGAGATACAAATCACACTCATGCGGATGCTGCGCACAGTACTTGGGCATCAACGGCGCCGCCTGCACGCCACTCGCGAGCAAATACTCCCTAAAGTTGAGAATGCGCTGCGTGAGCTCCGTCGTCCTCTTCTTACCGCTCGCATCACGGTTGCCTGACCACACCAGCTCGGCGAGCGCCGCCGCGCGCGGCCACATCTTCTGGCTGAGAATAGTGTCGTCGATCTGCTCACCGAACAGTGGGGCGATGGCGCCCTGGACGAGCGCCTTCTGGGTGTCGGTAAGGTTGGCGGTGAAATCGTAGTCGTAGATGCGCTGCCATGTCTTGTACGGGGCACACCAGGAGCCGCCGGCGCCGAGCCAGTTGAAGTTTGCGCCGCCGTCGGTGGCGTTGGGGTTGATCTGCACGTTGTAGCGCGGGTCGTTGGAGACGTAGCCGCCGTTACCGCAGTCGAGGTAGAGGAAGTCCGAGGATGACACGATGACGCGGTAACCCTGGGAAGTGAGGTTGGAGATGTGCTCGCGGCCGGCGGTCCAGGCTTGGAGCACGATGTCCTTGGGGACTTCGCCGGTGGCAGCGACGTCGGCGGAGAGCTTGACGTCTTCCCACATAACGAAGGTCTTGTTAACTTGGGCGCGGAAGTTGGGGATCGCCTTGTCGACCCAGTATTGGTAGAGGTCGCCCATGGACTTTCCGGAGTTGAACCATGCGAGGCCAAGAGAACTGAAGTTGTTGCAGTTGGCGAAGAGCTCGTCGCCGCCAATGTGGAACCAGTTATCGGGGAAGATGGTCGCCATCTCCTTGTAGACCTTGGCGGTGACTTCGTAAGTCTTGTTGTTGAGGATATCAAGCTGACCGGGGTTGGGCTGCACAGCCGTGTGCTTGGGCCAGTCGTCGTTGGACCACCAGCTGTTCTGGCATGTCAGGATAGACTCGTCAATTTGCTTCCATCCGGAGCTGGCATGGCCGGGCATGTCGATCTCGGGAATGATGCGGACACCACGGGCAGCAGCATAGCTGATGAGTGACTTGAGGGAGTCCTGAGAAAAGATCTCGTTCTCTGAGTAGGCATCCTCAGTCATCTCGGGGAACGCTTGGATCTCAATGGGCCAGGCCTGGTTGTCGATCATGTGCCAGTGTAGAACGTTGAGCTTGGAGAGGGACATGCCGTCAATCTGCTCCATGATCTTCTTGGGGGAAAGATAGTTGCGGCCAGTGTCGATCATTATGCCACGGACAGGGTACAGAGGCTTGTCATCAATGGAGACGGGCTGCTCGATGATCATGTTACCAGTTCCGTCATTGATGACAATCTGTTGGAGTGTAGTCATAGCATGGAGAGCACCGTATACTGTCTTGGCTGAGATCTTGATGCTGTCCGAATCAGAGGTCACGTCCAACTTGTAAGATTCGTCAACGCCATGCTGGAGCTGGGCACTCGTGTCCGCAATCTCGACCTGGACTTTGCCGAGAGTGGAAGTGCAGTTTCCAGAGCCGTACTGCCTCTTGGACCGCCTCTTCTTAGAGCCTGCTGCTGGGGTGGGGAATGGCTGAAATTGGCGAATCGGTGCCTCGATGGCTTGCGGCACCCACTTTAGGTCAGTGATAGACTTGGTGGTACGATCAAAGGCAGCTGATAGGACCGCATGTTCCGGAGCTTCGAGTGAAAGAGATCCAACGGAGAGACAGCCTGAGTTACCCCAGGTCATGTTCGCTGGCTTGGGAAGAGGATTCACAGCCACGGCGTCGACATGACTAGCAAACAAGGCCGAGGCCGTGGCCACAGAGGCCAATATGAAGTTATGCATGTTGTAGTTGTGTGTGTATGTGAGTGAGCGAAGGAAGGACTGACGAAGAGCCTGACGTTGTAGAGTCGCCCTATTTGTTGGACCAGTCGAACAATGCCAACAACGAGTGCGAAAGCAATGGGGTCGGGCAATGAAAGGGAGCCAAGGAGGGTATATATTTTAAGGACCGTCCAGCTCAGGTCGCCGCGCGACTGGGTAATGAATTGACAGGGACCTTGCCGGGATCTGCTTCCAAGGCTAACTTCACCCTAACCGACTGGTGATCAAGCCACGCGGACGGGCCCCCATTCACGAATGCTGCAACGGGATAGGTCAAATGTTTGCTCAGCCTTGCTGCATAACGAACGCCGGGCACCCACAGAGCCTCTGGCCTCCGCACCGCAATCATGAAACCCACTCACCAGCGCGCCGCACCGCAGTCATATGCTGTGCCGTACTGTCACCTTCCCCTCTCATCCTACCAGTCCAGCTCGTGCATGTGCCCGAAGCAATGCCACTGTGGCCCTCTTGCATTATCGTCGGCATCGTAAAGCCAGCCACCGTAACCCCAGTGCTGACGGCCTTCCGCACGCATCATGGTCGGTGCTTCTTGGAGCGTCCTCTCCACCCGAGTGCAGATCGGCCCTTTGCGCTAAAACAAACGGTTGCCACTGTTTCGTGCAACTTTGATCCGCGCGTTGTGACTGGTGAGAATGATGGACCGGGGTAAATGTGGACCCTGTGGTGTTGGTGCTGTTGTACAGAGTTCGCGAAGCCTTGCAGTCGTGCATCTTCTCATTCAATATGGTCAAGAATGCGAACGAGTCAAGGGCGTGCATGATTCACAGTGGCGCCTGCGATCGGAGATTTTGAGTTTGCCGTGGCGGAGGTGCAGAGGCAGGCGCCGCTTAGCTTACAGCCTGCGCATTAGAATAGCTCACTCGCCCATCCACTGTTTCATCATGCACAGCCCTACTTCGATACCAACTGTGCGGACAGCATAAGTTCAACCATTGCTTGCGGAGATGAGCTATGCTCAAAGGTCCGGATCTGAGATCCCTGCATCTTCTTGGCTTAAAGGAGCACGTATGACGAGTATGACGAGTTGACGATTACGTTGAGAATGCTTCAGGCAATTTCCACTTCCATCTGATGGAGACCCCTAGTAAGTGTTTCACGTTGCTGTTGGACGGACTGTCGGGCAAAGCATATGCAATCGGACCGTGGAAGGTGCGGCAGCCAAGATCGACATTGAGAATTTGACACCAGGTCATGGGTATCCGTGGAACATTCCATCCATGCAGGTACACTCCAATTCAGCATTCGATTTATCGGCCCTGTAATATGATATGTAGGCAGACCAATCGCGATTTACCTCGCCGCAGAAGGCAATGCATCATCGGCGTGAGGCGCAGCATGTTCAGTCCCTTCAGTGGCATTACGTGGATGCTCGCCGCCCTTGATCTGATACCAGTCTGGTGCGGGAACACTCAGCAGCTTGCAGATCTCGAATCGGCGGTGTCTAAAGTCATCGTAGAGATGCTTCCATATTCGCCGCTCGGCACAGGTCTTTTCCTTGTCACCGCCACAGTCTGGCTGCATTTCTTGAAGACCCTCAAATGGCCACATGATCCAAGGCTTTGGCAGAGGCCAATCGCTGAAATGGACAATCTTCGCTTCTTTGAACACCTTCTCGGCATCCCACTGCTCCTCAGGATTACCAAGATACGCCGAGTGATCGTGGCGCCTAAACTCGCCTGTCAGCAGAGCATATGGCCTGTGGGGCAGGACAAGCGCGCTCTCCTCGAAGCGCTCGTTGACAAGCTCCATGTCAAATCTGTGTGCGTTCACCAGCATGTTGTTGCCCCCGCCAGTCATGCGGTCTTTGAACTGCCGAAGTTCACTTCGGTCCGGCTTAATGACCATAAGCATAGACGTCAGCGGCCATGGTTTGCTGTCAGCCCAATATGCGCGCGGCATTGCCATCGGCGTCTCTGGGAGGAGGAATAACTCGTCGAGCGGTTGCAGAAGCTGTGACGTCGGAGTCTAGGGCGATAACGCGGTCGTAGTACTCAAGCGAGAACGCCATGAATTTGGTGACGGATTTATCCCATGTCCCTGTCCATTGATCTGCGAGGCGCGTTAGCCGTGTCCCTGCTGTTGTCTCAGAGTGACAGTTCTGAAGGGTGGGTCTCGATGTGTGTAACCCTCGAAGCGTACCTTTGGTGCGACCTCCAACGGTCAGAAGATTGATCGGATGAAGCTTGACATGGTACTTGTCGCGCGCCAACACGAGCAATTGACTATCTCGGTCTTTTGAGTCGGATATGGTCGTGTCCCAGTACTCGGGGTAGAATAGGACGCGGTCTGCCTTGCTGCCTAGTCGGACAAGCGCGTCTGCCAGGAGGACTGCATGACAAAGGGTTGCGCTATCCGTTGCGTAGAAGCTGTACGCGAAGTTGGACCAGTTGACCGCCGTCTCGCCGTCTGCAGATGGTTTGCTGCGCGAGGGGTAGAAGAACCAGCAGATGAAGATGAAGCTGGCCAGGAGGGTATGTGTATCGACGATTCCACCGAAATTGTGATCGTTCGCTGTCGTTCACGAACCGAGGAAGCTCATCCGATCGTTTTCGACGCATGCTGCTGTCATCGATATGTTTGTTGTAAGCATTCTGGACATGCAGTGGTGCAAGCTGCACCGTTTTTCCTGCGCCGTTTGGGGGACGCGCGGAGCTCCGGAGTGACGCGAGATTCACACGCCGCCACGCCCGCAGGATATCGAGTCACGTGCGACCTTCTCACAGATTTCAAGTCCAAAGTGGCAATGATGGTGAGTCAAAAGTTGTCGCGAATCATCTTTGGAAATTGTTCACAAGTCACTTCACAGTCCCACAGATGTGCATACACATTCGCGACGTAAAGTCTGGGTATCATTGATCTCATCCATTCAGCTATGTAGCACCTCTATGCAGGTCGTTCCTTCATTATTTTGAAACAGTCCAGTACTGTAGAGTTTACTCCTCAGGGATCTCAATCTCGCCAGACTCAATGTCATCAGAGATGTCCTTGGGGCTACGGCCGTCAACCTGGCAACCAGTGGAGAAAGCAGTTCCGAGGATCTCCTTGACGGTACCCTTGAGGTCCTTGGCCATGGACTTGAACCTCATGGTGCGGGCAATGCTGATGATCTCATCGAGGGGAATGCTCTTGGTGTGCTTGATGTTCTTCTCCTTCTTGCGGTCGCGGGGAGGCTCCTTAAGAGCCTTGATGACAAGGGAAGATGCGGAGGGAACGACGGAGACGGCGGCTTGACGGTTTTGGATGGTCAACTTGACAGTGACACGGAGACCCTTCCAGTCACCAGTGGCCTTGGCGATATCTTCACCGACCTCTGTGGTGTTTGTTAGCAATCTGCCCTAGTGAATTGCGCTTGTGCGGGCGAACGTACTCTTTGGCGACAGACCGAGAGGACCGATCTTGGGGGCGAGTGCGGATGAGGCACCGACTTCACCACCAGTCGCACGGAGGTGGATGACCTTGACCTCGGAGGGATCGAACTTGGGAGCTGAACTTCATTAGCCTGGCTGTCGCAGCCGACCAGAAGGATGATACTCACGCATGGCTAGTGTGTGAGGTAGTCAATCGTTTCTGATCCTTTAGAATGAGTGTCGAGGTTGGTGGGCGAGACTGGAAAAGTTCGACCTTGAATATACGGCCAGTGGTGGGGTTTAAGCGAGTCGCGCCTGCCCTCTGTGGTACTAGTGCGAACCGGCTGGTTCACATCCCGCCAGTTACTCAAGGTTGTCAACTACGAGGAGAATCATGAACTGAACGGATGTGGGACAGAACCTGGACTGACGCGGGTGCGTTTGATCATTCTTTTGAATAGTCAATCGTTCGTAAGGTCACCTCGCGCTGCTGTCATTTCTTCCGAGATAATTTTGTGAATGCGCAGAACAGTGACAGCAGCGCAGGAACAACGGTTTGATGCCCTTCAATGCATGATATTCGAAAGACGGTAGTATATAATGATCTGTCGGCGCATAATGGAGAGCACATCTGGGATTGCACAACAACAAGGAAACCGAGGCCACAATGCACATTCAACCCAAAGACGATGAAGAGCACGCATGCCGCAACAGAGTACATTATCTCACTCTGGATCACTTTGCAGACGTATGTCTACCATGGTAGCCTTCAGAGTCTCTTGATCACGGTGACTAATATTTCGAAAGAGTATGCACGTAGCCACCGAAACTGAAGACTGCGAGAAGCAAAAGCGGCAAACTCGGAGTCGTGGCGACAGAGGCTATAAGCGAAAAGACAGCGATGCCATCTCGAAACCAAGCTCAGCAGTAACGGAGGAGCAGGTCAAGTCGAAAGCGACATACCCTCTTCCACCGACAGAGATTCATGATGGTCGACTATTTAGGAAGGTCGGATAGAGGATGTAGGGCAATGAAGCACCAGTAGTCATACAACATGAAGCTGTGCATTGTCGTCTCCATCGAATACTATGAAGTGAATTCGAGCAAAAGTTGAAGATGATTAGTAGACGCGAGCGAGCAGTCGACGCGGGGTGATCACACGTGCTGACAGGCCTAGCGCGTTTTTGGAGTGTTTGTTTGCGACGCTAAGCAGCACTAACAACATGCGACGGTGACACAAGCAAACAACCCGCAACGATTCCGCGCACGCCTACTAATCCTCCAAACACAGCAACAATGGCTTCGGAATCGCCCCGGAAGTCTACGCGCGCCGCCGCGACACGAAGCAGAGCGCCAGTCATCGACGACTCAGACGAGGAGGAAAACAGGACACCTACCCCAGAGGTCAAGCAAGAGGAGGAGGAAGAATTCACACCGGCGCCCGCCCCACTGAAGCAGGGTAGGGGGCGAGGACGTCCACGGAAGGCTGCAGGAGCAGACGAGAATGTCACACCAAAGCCCACAAGCAGGCGGCGGCCGCGCGTGACAGAATCCATCGAGCCCTCGCAGCTGTTTACACCCGGGCCGGAGAGCGCGCGACCGGCTTCGCCTTCTAAGACAGTCCCAAAGAAGCGCGGACGGAAACCCCGGGTGTCACTTGCGCCCGAAGCACCCGAAGAAAGCTCACAGCTGCTCACCCCTGAGCCATCCGTAACGCCTGAACCCGGGCATGTGACAGAGATCGAGCAAGCGACAGAAATCGATCAGGCGAGCGAAGACACCGATGCCCCAGGAACACCAATCGCCGATGTAACTGAGAGCACAGTGAATGCGCAGACTCCGGTACCAGAGCCTACTCCCGAGCCAGTTGCCGAAGTCACGCAGATTGAGATCAAGGAGGAAAAGCCGATACCAGAAGCACAGACAGAGCCAGAGGCATCACAGGAACCACAACTCAAAATGGTCGAGAACTTGAGCTCGCAGCCCGCCATGCTCGAGCGGCCAATGGACATTGTGGCAAGGCGGCGTGCGGCTGCTATGCCTGCACTACAAGAGCCGGCAGCCCCGAAGCAGCGGACTGTCATCACCTGGCTTGTCATGACAAACTTCAAGAGCTATGCGGGTCGACAAGAAGTTGGGCCATTCCACGCGTCCTTCTCCTCCGTAGTAGGACCCAACGGCTCCGGCAAATCGAATGTCATCGACTCGCTGCTATTTGTCTTCGGCTTCCGCGCCAGCAAAATGAGACAGGGCAAGCTCTCTGCACTGATTCACAACTCGGCTGGATTCCAGGACCTTGATTTCTGCGAAGTTGAGGTACACTTTCAGGAAGTTAAGGACCTCCCGAGTGGTGGATCAGAGGTTGTTCCCGACACGAATCTTGTCATATCGCGACGGGCCTTCAAGAACAACTCGAGCAAATACTACATCAACAACAAAGAATCCACCTTCACTATTGTCACAAATCTGCTCAAAAACCGAGGAGTGGATCTCGACCACAAGCGCTTCCTAATCCTACAGGGGGAGGTTGAGTCGATTGCACAGATGAAGCCCAAGGCCCAGGGTGAGCACGATGATGGCCTCCTCGAATACCTTGAAGACATCATCGGCACATCGAAATACAAGACGCCGATCGAAGAGTCCGTAGTCGAGCTGGAAACGCTGAACGAGGTGTGCCAAGAGAAGAACAACCGAGTGCAACACGTCGAGAAGGAGAAGAGTGGATTGGAAGACAAGAAGAACAAGGCGCTGGCATACATTCGCGACGAGAACGAACTTGCGATGAAGCAATCGACCCTGTACCAGATCTACGTCTCCGAGTTTGATGATCACATCCAGGTCACCCACGAATCGGTCGGCCAGATGCAGGCTCAACTCGACGAAGAGCTCCAAAAGCATCAAGGCAGCGAAGAGGAGATCAAGCAGCTCGAGCGGCAGTACAAGAAGGGCTCTAAGGAGTGCGAGCAGCTAGAGAAGCAGAATCAAGAGTTCCAGAAGGAAGTGGCCAGGATTGACAAGGAGACTGTCAAATTTGAGGAAAAGAAGAAGTTTCTTGCTGGCAAACAAAAGAAGCTGGAGAAGACAATCGAGACAAGCAGCTTCGGCAAGTCCGCAGCCGAGACTCAGGCGAAGCAGTACGCTGCTGACATTGAGCGTTACAACGAGGAGATTGTTGAGCTCGAGCAAAGCATGAAGGTGGAAGAGAAGGAGCTTGAAGCTGTGCGCTCCGCCCTAGCGGGCAAGACGCAAGGCCTCTCAGATGAGATTGCAGCGAAGCAGAAGTCTTTGGAGCCTTGGAGTGCCAAAATCAACGAGAAGCAATCCGCAATTGCAGTCGCGCAGAGTGAGCTGGATATCCTTCGTGAGCGCGAGAATGCTGGCAGCAAGGGCATTGCTGATGTAGAGGCCAAGATTGAGGCACTGCAAGAGACAAAGGAGGCAAAAGCCGCGGAGTTAGATGAGTGCAGGGCCGAGAAGAAACGGGTCGAGAAGGAGGCTCAGAAAGTACAAGCCAACATCGAAGATCTCACACAAAAAGAGCCTGCACTGCGGTCAAAGCTCTCTGGTGCCCGAGCCAAAGCTGATGAAGCTCGCGCTAGCCTCTCGTCAGCCCAGACTCAAGGCAACGTTCTTGCTGGTCTTATGCGCCTGAAGGAATCTGGTCGTATCGATGGATTCCATGGCCGACTCGGCAATCTGGGCGCAATCGACCAGAAATACGATATCGCAATCTCCACTGCTTGCCCGCAACTCGACAACATGGTCGTAGACACTGTAGAGTCTGGACAACAGTGCATCGAGTACCTTCGGAAGAATAACCTCGGCCGTGCCAACTTCATATTGCTTGATCGTCTGGCAAAGCGCGACATGTCGCCCGTCCAGACACCAGAGAACGTACCCCGTCTGTTCGATCTTGTCAAGCCAAAAGACGAAAGGTTCCGCCCCGCCTTCTTCCAAGTGCTCACCAATACTCTGGTCGCCCAGGACCTTACTCAAGCGGATCGCATTGCGTACGGCGCGAAACGTTGGCGAGTTGTCACGCTTGACGGCAAGCTCATTGATACTGCTGGTACCATGAGCGGTGGTGGCAAGAGTGTCGTCAAGGGTAAGATGTCCTCCAAGCTAGCCTCGGACGTTTCGAAGGATCAGGTCAGCAAGCTTGAGCAAGATCGCGACACACTTGAGCAAACCTTTGCAGAATTCCAGCAAGAGTTGAGGCAACTCGAGACCACGCTACGCGACTTGAGCCAGCAGATACCTGAGCTCGACACAAAAGCGCAGAAACTTGCGCTTGAAATAGACAGCTACGATCGCAACATCGCCGACTCGCAGCGCCGCATCAAAGAGTTGAGCAGCGAGAAGGCGTCGGTCAAGTCAGACAAGGGCCGTGTCTCAACCTTGGAGAAGACGATTGCAACCATGGAGAAGGAAGTTGCGAAGTTGCGCTCAGAGACCGCTGATGTCGAAGCTGAGATCAAGGCTTTGCAAGACAAGATCATGGAGATTGGAGGTGTTAAGCTGCGAAGCCAGAAAGCAAAGGTTGACGGCCTCAAGCAACAGATTGACACCCTTACCGAGCAGTCTTCTAACGCAGAAATCTCCAAGTCCAAGGAGGAGAAGCAGCGCGCCAAGCATGAGAAAGCCCACAACGACGCAATCAAAGAGCTTGACAAGCTGGCGGTTGAAGCAGAGAAGGTTGAGGACGACATGGCGTCTCAGCAGAGTGACGTTTCTGGCATCAGGCAGCAGGCCGAAGAAGCCCAGGATGTGCTCGAGACACGCAAAGAGGAGCTTCAAGCCGTCAAGAAGGAACTCGACGAAAAGACCGCAGAGATCAACGAGTCTCGCGCTGTCGAAATTGAAATGCGAAACAAGCTCGAAGAGGCCACGAAGAGCCTGAACGAGTTCCAGAAGAAGCAAGCATATTTCCACGACAAGCTAAGCAAACTCACGTACCAGAACATTTCAGATCTTGGCGAAGAACAAGAAGGTGGCGAAGGCCTTCCCTCTTACAGCAAGGACGAGCTGCAAGACATGTCCAAAGCCAACCTCAAGGATGAGATCGCGCAGCTCGAAAAGAAGAATGAGTCTACGCAGGTCGACCTCGCTGTTCTCGCCGAATACCGTAGGCGTGTCGAGGAGCATGAGGCTCGATCTGCCGATCTCAACGAAGCCTTGGCCGCTCGTGATGCCGCAAAGCGGAAATGCAACGAGCTTCGAGAGCTAAGATTGTACGGCTTCATGGAAGGTTTCAGTATCATCACCGCTCGTCTCAAGGAGATGTACCAAATGATCACCATGGGTGGCAACGCCGAGCTGGAACTCGTCGATACCTTTGATCCTTTCAGCGAAGGCATCCAATTCTCCGTCATGCCGCCCAAGAAGTCATGGAAGAACATCAGCAACTTGTCGGGTGGTGAGAAGACTCTTTCATCCCTTGCTTTGGTGTTTGCTCTACATCATTACAAGCCGACTCCGCTTTATGTCATGGACGAGATCGATGCTGCTCTCGACTTCAGGAACGTAAGTATCGTGGCCAGCTACATCAAGGAGAGGACGAAGAACGCGCAGTTCATCGTTATTTCTTTGCGCAACAACATGTTTGAGCTTGCAAGTAGATTAGTGGGTGTATACAAGGTCAACCACATGGTAAGTCATCTCATCACAAAGTATAGCATGGTATGTAAGCTGACATTGGTACAGACGAAGAGTGTTACGATCGAGAACAAGGATTACGTTACTGGGCGGGCTTGATGGACGACTACACGAAGGATTGGGTTGATATGACCGATGCAAGGCGTTTGGTGTTTGCATGAGCCTGTACTCGGGGACATACGGATGTACACGGGCTGCAGTCATGGTTTGGTATACCCAATGGGATGTACATGGCACGGCTGCTTGATAACGATGCGACGCTACACATAGTGCATTCATAAGACAAACTCGTGATGTGTCTCAGAATGGTGCTCTTCAGACAGCGATACCTAGACGTGTGGTGGCGGCGATGGCGGGGAAATGCGGGGAGCGGATGTGTTACGGGGCACAGCTGGGAGCTGAAGCTGAAGCTGAAGCTCCTCACACAGACATACCATCCTTCCGGCGTGAAGTCTCCGACTCAGTGCATGCACGCCGGAGCCAAGCAGCGATGGTTCTGCGGACCTGTCGACCTTATTGGAAGAATCGGTGCCCGATGGCCGGAGCCGAATTGGGGATAGCGCGTGTTGTCCCGCAAAAAAGTACATTATTGGAGGGGCGCGTGGTTGGGAAAGAGTACGGCCTGGACGGGCTTAAATTCTCTCACTGCCATCTTCTCTCCTTGCCATCTCTTCCTCTTCTCCGTCATTTGTTCGACCATTCGCTCGATTGATATCCATCATGTCTACTTACGCGCTCCCCAAGTCCCACCAGGACGTAAGCATCCCCGCATCTCACAGTGATGATGCGCATGATATTGACTCACGATAGCTCATGGAGAAGTCCCTGGTGGACACGGACAATGAGGTTGCCCAGATCATGGTAAGATTACTTCAATGTGGCACTTCGGAGACGTCTAACCAGTGCAACAGGAGAAGGAGATTCAGCGTCAGCGCGAGTCCATCCTCCTCATCGCGTCCGAGAATGTCACATCCCGCGCCGTCTTCGATGCTCTCGGCTCGCCCATGTCCAACAAGTACTCCGAGGGCTACCCCGGTGCCCGCTACTACGGCGGAAACGAGCACATCGACGCCATTGAGCTGCTGTGCCAGAAGCGCGCTCTCGAGGCCTTCGGTCTGGATGCAGAGAAGTGGGGTGTGAACGTCCAGTGCTTGAGCGGCAGCCCAGCCAACCTCCAGGTCTACCAGGCCATCATGCGCCCACACGACAGGCTCATGGGTCTTGATCTGCCCCACGGCGGACATTTGAGCCACGGATACCAGACACCGCAGAGGAAGTGCGTATACCAGAGTCCCTTTAGATGAAGAGCGATCGCTGACAGACTACAGGATCTCTGCCGTCTCCACATACTTCGAGACCTTCCCTTACCGCGTGAACCTCGACACCGGCATCATCGACTACGACCAGCTCGAGCAGAATGCCCTCATGTACCGCCCCAAGGTCCTCGTCGCTGGAACCTCTGCCTACTGCCGTGAGATCGACTACGCCCGCATGCGCGAGATTGCCGACAAGGTCGGATGCTACCTGATGATGGACATGGCACACATTTCTGGACTCGTCGCCGCTGGCGTTAACAAGTCGCCCTTCCCATACTGCGATATTGTCACAACCACCACCCACAAGTCTCTCCGTGGACCCCGTGGTGCCATGATCTTCTTCCGCAAGGGCGTCCGCAAGACCGACGCGAAGACCGGCAAGGAGACCCTGTACGATCTCGAGGGACCCATCAACTTCTCCGTGTTCCCTGGTCACCAGGGTGGACCCCACAACCACACCATCACTGCGCTTGCAGTCGCGCTCAAGCAGGCTCAGACCGAGGACTTCAAGCTTTACCAGCAGCAGGTCATCAAGAACGCCAAGCAGCTCGAGGTCACCTTCAAGGAGCTTGGCTTCAAGCTCGTCACCGACGGCACAGACAACCACATGGTCCTCATCGACCTCAAGCCCTTCGCCCTCGACGGTGCGCGTGTTGAGGCTGTGCTCGAGCAGGTCAACATCGCCTGCAACAAGAACACCACACCCGGCGACAAGAGCGCGCTATCACCCATGGGTATCCGTATCGGTGCGCCCGCCATGACCTCAAGAGGTCTCGGCGAGGACGACTTCAAGAAGATTGCCGGCTACATCAACAAGTGCGTCGAGATGTGCAAGAAGATCCAGGGCGAGTTGCCCAAGGACAACAACAAGCTCAAGGACTTCAAGGCCAAGGTTGCATCTGGCGAGGTTGAGGAGATCAACAGCCTGAAGAAGGAAATTGCCGCGTGGGCCGTTACCTTCCCTCTTCCCATCTAAACGTCTCGTTTCGTCTTCTGCATTGGCGCACCTGGAGTTTAGAGGATAACATTCAACAAAAGGATATGGTTGGCATATTTCAACATTTTCACGCATCATCAAGGTCGGAAGGATAAAAATGATACCTGGGAGTACGATATGATGCCATGGGTGGATGGCTACTCCACTCCACACATGCTCGAATTGAGCACGATCGTTGCTTAACCATCGATCACCAATGAAAGCATAACTGCATCTGTCTCTGTTTCGACGGACAGTCACATTTGATAGACCCGAACCTTCTTCTACGTGCATCTTCACTCCATAACACATTGACCGCATCATCGATAGCAGCCACTCGTGACGTGCCTAGTGGCAGTGCGGCGGCCACGTCCGAAACGCAGATGGCGCGATACCTGTTCCGTCCGGATCTCCACTGATAAGACGCAGGGTCCTTGTCGCCGCTTCACCCTGGGCAGTCAGGCACAGCTTCACGTGCCTAAAGCACACCCGTCACCTGTACATCTAACTGGTCGTCGACCCAGGCGATCTTCATCATCCGGCAACATGCTTCAAACACGGCCCTGCGTGACCACTGAAAGCGTGATGCCTAGAGCTGCGCCCTGAGTGGCTGAGGTCTTCGACCCTTTCATACCTCTTAAATGAACCGTCCCTCGGTCGCTCCGTAGCACTGCACTCTTGTTGACCACTCGATATCCTCCGCCGACATCTCTCCTGCATCTACGCCGTCTATTAAGAGGCGACTTTCGGTAGACTAGACCTCCCACCTTCCGCATACGGCAGGAGTGTATTCCGACGCAACGAATCACACATCGCAACGTGAAGGCGTGCAATAAGAGTCGCCGCTGCGGGAGGGATCTACCCGTGAAGCTTGACGAGCTTGTCATACCTTGCTTTGCTCAAAGGAGTAGGAGGGAGTTCAGTGGATATGCCCGCCATGTGGATCGATGCGGCCAAGGAGGGTGTACATAACGCGGCGGATGCCCTGAGAGATGTCGCTCCACAGACGACAAACATGCCTTCTCTCAGAACTCTCAGCAAGCTTGCTTTTGGTGGCGCCCAAGTGCTGCTTGGTGGACAGGGTGTTCGCGGTACCTTCACGCAACAGTGCGATGCGCCGCAGTTGAGCTGCCACAACACGACCGTGGTAGAGAATTTGTGCTGCTTCAATGCGCCGGGCGGTCAGATTCTGCAGACGCAGTTCTGGGATACAAACCCACCAACTGGACCGGATGATAGCTGGACGCTCCATCCCCTTTCATCGTATGTTTGGGCGATACCTTTTCATTATAGACTATGTACTGACTCTACAGGCCCGATCGATGCGATGGCACATACGACGCAAACTGCGACCCGTCTCGCGCCTACACCAACATCTCCGCGATCCTGACCTCCTTCGGCGCGAACGACCTCCTCTCATATATGTCCACATATTGGAAAGACTACCAAGGCAACGACGAGTCCTTCTGGTACCACGAGTGGGCCAAGCACGGCACCTGCATCAGCACTCTCGAACCCAACTGCTACAACGACCACAAACCCACCGAAGAAGTCGTCGACTACTTCCAGAAAGCTGTGGACTTGTACAAAGGACTCCCATCCTACCAATGGCTCAAAGCCGCCGGCATCGAGCCCAGCACGAGCAAAACATACACCTTCTCCGCCATCCAGGCCGCGCTCGCCGTAAACCGTCCCGGCGTCGAAGTCACCCTCGGCTGCAAATCCGGCGCCCTGAATGAAATCTGGTACCACTACGATGTGCGCGGCCCCCTGCAGACTGGCGAATTCGTCCCCTCGGACCCCGACGGCACCAAGTCTACCTGCCCGCAGACCGGCATCAAATACCTGCCCAAGAACGGCGGTGGCACGAAGCCTACCACAACAGCTACCTCCGGCGCTCCGCAGCCTACATCTACCTCCCCGCCCGGCACGCCCTTCAGCGGCAAAGGCTTCCTCAATGTCGTGATCAACGGCGCGAAGCAGGGCTGCATCATCGGCAAGGGCACGTGGTACACGACCGGCACCTGCGCGACCTTCACCGCCACGAGTGTAGATAACGGGTTCACGCTTACTTCGTCAAAGGGCAAGTGCGGTATTGTTGCTGGCGCGCTGAGCTGTGATGGTAGCGTCACTTCTGGCACGGGATTCACAAGCGCGGATGGCAATCTAGCGGTCGGCGGGAATCAGAATTGGAGCGCGGATAATGTGGCCAAGGGGAGTACGCAGGAGACGGTGTATGCTGGAGGAGATCATAAGCAGACGTTTGGGATTACGTGGCAGAGCGTTTGAGTATGCGGGATGCATGATAGATACTAGAGATGAGTAGAATCGAACACGTCGACTTTATGACTTAACCGTATTCTACCCAACATCCCTAGCAGGACAGCATTCACATGAATTCCACAACACACGTGTTCAAAGATCATTCATCCCATATGTCAATCATGTCAAAGTTCATTTCATTAATTCATTCTGCTCAAAATGGTATCACTCCTCCCCTCCATCCCTCCTCTCCGACTTAGACGTGGTCATGTCTCGTCGTCTTGTCCATCCCCAACGCATGCTTCGTCTTGTCCATGAAGCCCTCCTTGGATCCGCCGTGGACAGTCTCGTCCTTGCTGCGCCCAAACTTGTCCGACACCTCTTGTGTGGTTGACTTGCTGTGGTCAGGCTGCGCGCCGCGGGCGATCTTGTCTGCGCCGCCGGTGACGCCCTCTTTGGCCTTCTGGAAGGAGGATTTGGAGGAGTCGGGAGTCTGATGAGGGGGTTAGATGGGTGAGTGAGGGAGAGGGGGGAGGAGGAAAGAGGTACCATTTTCTCGCCGGCCTTGGTGTGGAAGTCTTTGCGGAATGCTTCGGACATGATGGAGGTTGGTTGATGTGTTTGGTTGGTAGGTTTGTTTAGGTTTAGTTGATAGGGAGTGAAGTGTTGGCTGTTGATGAGGTTGATGGTGTAGATGAATTCGTCTGGGCTGGAGAAGATGTTTATATGCACCTCGAGCAGTGAGAAGCTACGTCATGCTCGTGACTGCTTGCTTGATATCAAAGCAGGAGCGTTTACGTGTGCAGCGCTTGTGACGACCGACGTAACGGCTTTCGTCATGTTGCCTGCGGTTCTAGGATCGAGATTTCCGGCAAGCATGCCATTGGGTCGCTTTATTCGCGTGTTTGCATTGTGATGGAGACTCTGGGAAGCGAACGCAGGGGTTTGGGCAAAGGTAGGTCAGCAGCACTTTCTGTTATCTGGATTGAGGAGTGCCGCTGGTGGATGTCTGTGGATGGTGACGTGGAGTGTCCAGTAGGTGGGCACACGGTTGTCGACCTCAGAGACTCACAGACTATGAATAGAGGTCTATCAGAGCACAGTCTGTATCTGCAGTGAACCATCGTTCCTGCGTAGACTTCGAGCTTGAAGCTTGACAGGTGGGGCAGATATCGAGGACCCTGCATTCCAACTTCAGGGAGCCAATCCACGTGCGTGACGTCATCCCCACATGGCTCGCAGCGGCAACGCCAAAACAAGCTTAATTTTAGAGTGACATGAAGACAATCTGCACGACAGAAGCGTGTTCGGTCGTGTATCTGTGTAAGAATGACGTAAATCACGTGTGTGGGATTCTTCGACTCGTCCAGGTGAGCGGACCATGTGTAACGATGAGCTATTCTTCGAGATGCTTAGTAACACTCGAATTGAGTTGCTCTCATCTCGGGCTTCGCACTGCACATAACAGACCCTCGCATCTTTCTTGTCAAAGAAGTAGGTCAGGATCAGATTGGGTCTACAAGGTCTTGTATGGCATTCACCAGCTCACTCGAGGGACAAGCCTCAGGGTCCTTACCGTGAACGCTTTTTGCACGTCTCGACGTTGACTGGCAAGTCGCCGGGAAGTAGGCGGCTGTAGTCCAAGCTGCGCAGTCCGTTGGGGCGCCAGATGAGCTTCGCAACATCGACTGCCATCGCCTGGCTGACCCTGGCTCTCAAGCTGCAGATCAAGCTGGATACAGATGACCACCCAGACAGCTACAACACCTTTGAAGAGAAAGAAGACGGCAATATGAAGCCGCGAGTATCTCTCGAAATTTGCATCAGTTTGCTGGCACGTCTCGGAAACAGCACAGATCGAGAGTGCGATGTATAGGTGTAAGATTGCGAGGCTGCCGTATCCCACTTTTTCTGGAACTTGAGCTCGGGGATGCCGGTTCAGTCGCGGGAGTCTGGCCTTCCGAGCCGTCAAGTCGCGGTCGGGCACCTGAATGGAAAGAAAACGGATGCAATCGCGGTAAGGCACCACGTCTCTGCAAACCATCGGTGAGTACAGTGTGCTGGCACGCGACGCGACGGTAGTCTAGGCGCATTAAACGTGGTCGAGAATACGCGCAAAGCCGTTCGAACTCCTTGGCAGGCAAAGGGGCGGTCGCGACATTAAGGACGGCTCCGCAGACAAGCTGCCACGTCGCTATGGGAATGGAAGAGGCTGGAGTGCATCTCGGCCGGGCCATGCTAATGCAGGAACGAGCCCTGCTTTTCTAGAAATAAAATCTCCGATTTGCGCTGATTGGTGGTTGAGGCTGTGACGTACGGCCCCCGGTTGGTTGCTAGGGGGACACTTTGTTTAGTCGGGCGTCCCAGCCTCTCAGTTCCAGCCACCGCCCCAACCTCATTATTTCCAACGAGACCAAAAGTATTGGGGCTGCAGCACGAAGAGAGAGACACATTCTAAGCAACCACCCTCAATCCAACCACCACTCGCTTTTCTGAGCAACAGGAGACATCTGACCAAATCCGTCGCAGTTTACATTCCGTCCGAAGCTGCAAGAGCTACCCAAGACTCGGCCACGCGAACATTGAACTCATTCCGCTGCCATCTTTGGGCCTCCGCCAATTGCTCGCCGTCTCATACATTCTTTGAGTGCGACACGACCATCAGCCAACGCCTGAGTGCATTCTTTCGCACCTCCCTCCCGGCCCTCTGAGGGCGCAGGGATCCGAACACCCATTCGAGTACGACTAGAGACGACAGACACACACAATGGCGAACCTCAAGTTCGCCGTTAGCATGCAACGTGAGTACCACGTGTCGATGGTAGAAGGAATGCACACTGACAATTCTTCCAGGGCTTGTTCCGTTTCTCGGCTTCCACCATGTGCTCATGGTATTAATAGCAATCGCTATCATTCTACTATGTAAGTTGAGAAGATGCATTGCACTCGGAGCGCGACTAACAGCAATCAGCACTATTACTCGCAGGATGCTCATCCACATCACCACTCATTCCCGGCATCTTCCTCATCTCGCTATGGTATGAAAAGTACACACCCGCCTATGCGCCCGAACAGGTCGACCCCGGCGTCACGCAAGCCATCGCAAACATTGTCGGAAATGCGCAGCTCGGTGTGCGCGTCGGATACTTCGGTATCTGCATCAACAGAGACGGCGGTGGCTACATTTGCTCCAACAACGCCACCGCACTCGTCGACAACCTGAACGTCGACCAAGACCCCCTCAACCTCGTCTGGGTCGCAGCAACCTTCAAGGACGCCGTCGTCTTCCCCTACCTCCTCATCGTCGCCATCATCCTCGCATTCTTCACCTTCGTTCTCCTCGCCACCTTCCCCGGCTGGCACGAGGAGCGCGACGAGCAAACCGGCTCCGACGTCGACGTCAAGCCCTTCCCCTCAAGACCCGTCTCGCAAGTCGCTCTCGCGCTCATCTTCATCTCCTCCATCTTCGTGCTCGTCTCCGTCCTCTGGCAACACACCGCGTCTGTCGCAGCAGCCACGATAGCGCAAGACCTGGGCAACGGCAGCGTCAAGTCTGGCGTCGGCACATCCGCCATGGTACTCGGCTGGTTCGGCTTCGTCCTGCTCATAATAGTAACCATCGGGTTGCTCGTCATGATTCTTAGCATCATTGTTCTCGACCGCCTCACCGACAATGACTAATGCGGCACGGGCAAATCATGATGAGGAACAGAAAATAAGAACCAGTTGTTTATAACGAAGATTGATATTTTGGGCACCGAAGCGTTTTTGGCCTGTTTTCTTCGCTTCACTTCGAACTAGAGAAAACGTTTTACATACCCTTTTTGGTTTTGGCCAGCCTTTGTGCGCCACGAGAACGATAAATATTTGCATTCAGGGCGCTTGGGTTTAATGACTTGCATATGACGCGAAAAGTCGCGGAGAACGAGAATGAGAAGGCTCAATTTGAGCTGGGATTTGGATGGAATGACGGCTGAATGCCGATGGGATTGTATCTATATAGCACACAAATGAAAGAATGAAAGTAATACGGCACACCTACCTACATTGCGTCTTCTCTTGGTTCATGTGAAGTTGAGAACAGGTGTACACTACAACACTGCCGTTTTGGAATCATCATCTTGACAATGACAGACACTTGATCCTTTGTTCGTAACAAAGTCAGCAACGGACCCTGACCCTACACAGCTTCCGGAATCAAATTACTCCCAATTAGCCATTACACATAGGCCGGTGTGTAAAGTTTGGTCGGCCCGTCCCTCGATTTGGCCAGCACTTGTGGACCGGATGCGGCCTTTCCCACGTGAGACGCGCTTTGTTTTGACACCACTTTGATACGCGTCTGATCTCGGAGGAGGGAAGCAGTGGGACATCCGGGGCAAAGTGCAGTCAAAGACACCGGAGTCTTCGCGCTGAACGAGTGCAGGAGCATGACAGTATTGCTCGAGCACTCGCCGGGAAAGCTCAACGCGTGTGGCGCGGCCATGGATATCAGGACGCGTCAAGAACATCGCGTCAACCACCATCACCACATCACATCACGCACGCACGCAGTAGACCAGTCTTTTGAAATTAAAATCTTTTGCAATTGCTCATGCAGACGATGACATCACGTCGAAACGAACCCCGCGCCCCTTTCTAACTGAAAAGGCCCGCCACAGATAAATAACAAAGAGAGATATACACGGCGCCTCAGATAAACGCCCAGCTAACCATACCGCCCACACCAGCCCAGCCCAGCCATCATTGAGAGAGAGAGAGAAAAGGGGGATATCACATACAAGCCCCCTTCAGGGGGGTCTCGGTAGAGAAAGGTACACATACGAACAAGAAAAACGTCTCCTCAAGCTCATGCCTTCTTTGGCGTAGCCTTCTTGGGTGTCGCCTTCTTAGGCGTGGCTTTCTTCGTCGCAGCAGCAGCCGTCTTCTTCTTTGGTGCTGCAGCCTTCTTCGTAGCCTTGGGTGCAGCGGGCGCTGTGGTCTTGGTGACGCGGCCGGACTTGGTCTTGCCGAGGACGCGGGACACTGATTCCTCGACGGCGGGTGCAGCGGCGGTCTTGCGGGGCTTGCTGGCATTGGCTTTGGGCTTTGGTGCTGCGGCGGTCTTCTTTGGTGCTGCTGCCTTTGCTGTGGTGGTCTTCTTGGGAGCGGCAGCTTTCTTGGTGGTAGTGGTGGTGGCCTTTGCCTTCTGCGTGCTGGGTTAGTGTGGGTGGGAGGAGAGTGAGCGGGGGATACGTACGGTGGCGGTGGCCTTCTTTGCTGGTGCTGCCTTCTTCTCGACGATCTTCTTCTCGGTCTTGGGCTCGGCCTTCTTCGCTGCTGGGGCGGCGGCGGGCTTGGCCTCCTTCTTTGCGAGCTTCACAGTTCCTGAGGCACCTAGTGGGGTGTTAGTAAGGTTTGTCACACGAGGCATGCTTCAACGCGTCGATGGTACGACAGCAGTGAGGCTAGAGACAGGTACGTACCCTTGGGACGCGAGAAGTCACCCTTCTCCTCACCCGAGGTGATGGCACGGTTGACGTGGCCCTTGAAGGCAGTGTCGGAGACATTGCCGATCTTGTTGTTGGCCTTGATGTACTTCTGGATAGCTTGACGGCTGCGCAAACGCGTGTCAGTGATGTGCACTTAAGCGGGTTCAGACGGAAGCACGCAATGAGCTTCCCAGGGGGTGACTAACCTTGATCCATTACGTTCTTTGAGCTGTACCGTGCGTAGAGCAAGTCAGCGAAAGTGTTCAAACAGGTAACAGAGCGCGAACAAGCTTTGTTGTGCTTCGCGCTCATGTTGGGGGGTAGGCGCCGCGAGACCAGGTGCGGGGGTCGTGATGCGCCTGAGAACATAGACTGACCTTGATGATAGCATCCTTTACCATATCTGATGAAACTAGTCAGTATTGGCCGGCGAACACGATGCAGCACGCGCGATCGCAATGCGACAGCGCGGCGTGGAGATACATACCAATATAGGAGCCATGCGCAGGCGCGGCGGCGGCAGCGGCCGTCTTCTTGGGAGCAGCGGTGGTAGACTTCTTGGGAGGCATGGCTGAAGATGTTTACTTGGATGGCGGTATGGACGGATATCTGATGCTTGCAGCGAGAGTACAGCAGAGAAAATCGATTAACGGGGCGATGTGGTGTCTGCTTTTCAAAGTCACTTGGTTGGAAGGGCCCGATCGCGCTGCGGGGCCTCTTGCTATTTGTAGTCGCTTCCGAATCCGACACGCGCCCGCCAGATCAACAACGAACCCGAAATCCTCCATTCCTATTTAGGAAGGATTAAGTATTATGCGTTGAATTTGTGATCTGCTGGTAGACTAATGCCGCGAGCTGACTGGGCGAGGTTTGGCAGTTGTACGTTGGCTTTGTTGGGGGTGTTCCACGTCTGCTGTTCGCTTCGCAAATCCCCCATCTCATCGTCCCTTGACCTTGAGCCTCTGATCCGCCTCGACCACCGCGCGCTCCACCTGTTCTGGGGTCGCGCGTCGTTCGCCTTCTCTAGGCAGATGCCTTTTCTTCTTGAGGGATAGTCTGTGACATTAGCCATTGCTAAACCATCCAACATATCTCACTGCCTCAAAGTTGAACATAGTCATAGTTGACGCGTTCGACCTCTGTCTCACTGCCTCAAAGAAAGGAGACTTGCCAACGCCCACAGCCTTGAAACGGGCCAGACTTTAGTCCATTTTCGAGTTTGCCTTTTCTTCAGGTAATCGCCACTGAATCAACATGAAGTTCCAGCCTCAGACCCCGTTGTTATGACCCTCGTCGCGTCGCTCTTCCCGAACCCTTGGTGTTTCGACCACGCCGCAACACTTCCAACACCACTTTTCCAAAACCCCACCACGTAAAGTAAGAGTCTATCCAAACATTTCTCCGTTATCTTCGGAGAAAGCGCATTCGTTCAGGCCGATTTTCGGATCGCAAACGTGTTCTGGTGCGCTGTCATTTCAAGTTCAATGACGTGTCTTTCGGCTCGCGGGTGTCAGGTAGAACTCGGTCACGCGCCCTTGAAGGACCTCCTCTATCGGCTGCACACCTGCACATCCTGGGCATTGGCTCGTTAGGGTCCCTTCGAATCCAATGCAGATCTCTTAGCTTTGAGAACTGGAGTCTTGGGCACCATCCATAGCTTCGTTGCTTGTGTCCTCCTACGAAGACCTAGGCACACCAAGGTAGATGCTTGGTATGAGCCAGCTTTGACCCAATGCAACATGGAGTAGAGCTCAGTGTGTTATTAAAGCCGTGAGGAGAATGTCAACTTCTCTTTAGGTCGGCTGTATCCCTGCTCTCGGATTTGAAGGGTGATTAGCATGTAGCTTCAGAAGTACGTAGTCACACGAGTTTAAGAATGAATACTGGCCAAATATCTTTATTCGTCTCACTATCTCTCACCACCACTACCACCACCCCACCTCACTTCTCCATGAACCGGTCAAGGTTCTCCTCCAGGTAGCCATTGCCGGCCAACATCTCCAACCACTTCTTCAACACCGGCCCGGCGTCGAAGCGGCGCTGCCTCGCCTTCTGCTCCTCCGCATCCTCCTCCTCCATCTCAACGCCGATGCTTGCCACCACTCCACCCAACTCCTCCGTCAATGCGCTGCGACGCGCCAGAAGAGTTGCCGAATCCTCCACGGCGACCAGCGCCATAGTGTCGGCGTGAACCGGGTGGCGGGCGAAGAGCTGCTGCTCGATGCCCAGGGAGGAGGGGCTCGGCGGCGGATCAGAGCTGACCCAGGTCGGATCGACCTCGTGGAGTCGCGCCTCCACGGCCACCAAGGTATTGATGGTGAGTGTTGCCTTCTCACGCAGCGAAGACAGCGGGGACTGGGAGACGGCGAGTACGCCGTAGTCGCTGTCGCCAGCAGCCATCAGCGTGTTGATGGTGTCGGACGCGGCAGACAGCCAGGTCTCGCCGACAGCAGCATCGAAGGTGCCGACGCAGGTCGGCCGAGCGTCCATGCCATCGAGCTTCCAGACTTCACTACCGACGGGGACGAATGCAATGAAATGGTGACCATTCTCTTCGAAAGAGTCGGTGCTGTCATCGGATGCTGCCGACTCCGCAGAGTTGCGACGAGACTTGCCCTTCTTGGCCTGCTCCTTAAGGCGCTCAGCGCGCCTGGCTTTTGCGGCGAGGTGCTTGTCGTTCTCGAGGATGTCCATGCGCTTGGCGAAGGAGTTGTGAATCTGCTTGACGAAATCGAAGCTAGCGAGGGCCTCACCGCGCTGGACGGAGGACATGTCTTGAGTAAAGTCCTTGAATTGCACCAGATGCTCGCCAATGTCGAGCTCAGGCTTGTTCATGATGATGTTGAGCATGGCGAGGGTGCCGCAGCTGTTCTGGGCTGGGAGCTGGTTGCAGAACCAAACATCTTCAGGGGCGTCGGTGGCCTGGTCCTCATTGCCGAACTCGCGGTAGCGGAACAGGAAGATGAGTCCGTGGATAGGGTGAGGGACCATATCGAGGATAGCGGGATCCATGGCGAAGACCTCGCGCACAGCGACGTCTTTGACACCCATCTCGCGCAGGATGACGGAAAAGTAGGCCGGGTCAGACTCGATCTCACAGAAGCCCTGCCAGTTCTCTTTGCTAATCTTGAAGTCTGAAGCTGGTGGAGGGGAGGAATCATTGTCGTCCTTGGTGTCTGAATCAGGCGATGCATGTTCCTCGATCTCGGCTATGGGGGAGGGCGCCTTTGCTTTCTTGGGGCTGGGCTCTGCTGCGGTCGACGGGTCGGCAAGTGCTCGCTTCTTGGAGCCTGGCGATTCTGGTGGGGAGGAGAGATCTGCAGACGAAGCTTGACCAGCAAGCATGTCGGGGGATGGTGTTTTCTTCTGTTTGCTAGCAGCGCCCGTGCCATTGACTGGGCTTGATGGAAGAGTAGCTTGCTTCTCGACCTCTGCAACCTTGCGAGCTGCGGCGACTTTGGGGGAAGGGGGAGCGTTTTCGGACATGTTGAACGAGAGAAAAGATCTTTTGTAGAGTGCAAAACAGCTGCAAGAAAGTGAAGTGGGAGAGTTGAGGGTTCTTCAAGTGTGTATGTGCACGTTTGGAAGTTGGAGCAGGAGAGGAAACGAAGCAGACATGATGGGACAGTTAAGCGATCAGTCAGCGCTATTGTGAGCGCAGTACAATAGGAAGCGAGTGACGGTGACTTCAGCGGTGAACAAGACTTTGGAGGTGAAGGTGTAAAGTGGTGGGAGTGCTGAAGCCGATGTTGATGGTCCAACACGTGACTACGAGACCCTGGCCATCGGGCTTTGATTGGCCACAGCATCAGCCCTACCAGCGGTATGACCTTGTCGCGTCGCGCAGGCAAGCGTAAATGTTTTGTTAGAGCACGCCAAACAAAGCATACAGCACCACCCAGGCCATACCAAAAAAACACTCGCACAGCAGAATACGCTCCCTTCCCTCATGACCTGAAAACACTGCGAAAAGCTCAATCCTAGGGCGCGATGAACGGCACACCGGCGCGCAGAGGCGTGGGCGGCTTCCCCTCGACACCGCAAACGACGAATCGATCGCCAGACGTGCGAAGCCCGAATGGCGGCACGCCGAGGCCAAATGTGCGGACGTCGCTTCCAGACCTGCCAAAAGCACCCGCACAGTCAGGCTCAGGGCCTCTGATACCATCGGACATCCTCGATCCCGCCCAGCAGCGCTTCTACGTCTTCGCCATCTATATCGGCCTATGGGCTTACCGACTATACGACTTTTACACCCTGATCATTGAGGAGGACCAATCATTAATTCTGTGTCTGAAATGGTGTTTCTTCGACATGCTGTTCATGTTTGGCACGCCGCTGCTGGAAATTCCCTGGTTGGAGTGGAGCAACGGCGCTGCATTTTTGCTGTTTGTGGCGCATGCTGCGATAGATGTCATGCTCATGTTCAAGATTGGCGTCCCTGTGCAGACGTGGTTTATCGGCCTGGTGGGCTTCTTGTGGGACAGCGAGCTGGCCATCAGCGAGCGCAGCGTCAAGCCCGGCGCGATTCTGCACAACGCCTCCTTGATCCTCGGAAAGCAGATCATCAACATCCTCCCTGAGGGATCCGCCATCCTGAACCCCGACAAGCAGCCCTTCTGCCTGAGCTCGACCATCACCCAGCTCGAAATACCCATCCTCATCAACCAGACCGAGCCCATCGAGATGGAGCTCCTGCGCATCGATGTCGCGACGAACACCAACGAGACCATCACGATAAAGAAGAAGGATTTGGGCAAAATGCTGGACAAGGCGAGAAAGTCATTGAAGAAGTCGTCGAAGAATGTCGACCCGGATGACCCGTTACTGCTGCGATACACTGTCAAGAAGCCTGGTGTATACCTTCTGAAAAGAGTCGTGGACCAGTCGAAGCTCCAGGTCCGCCCTCGCGCCTCCAGCCTAGTCGTTGCGACATGTCCGCAGGCTCGCGTAAAGCCTACGAGCGGCAACCGATGTCGCAACGATCTCTCTGATGTGGCACTTGAGGTTGAGGGCACGCCGCCCCTGAGCATCAAATACCGCCTAGCAGTAAACGGTGTTCAGCGAGGTGGATCTGAGTTCCAGAATCTACAGCCAGACGATGCCGTCTCGCCATTGTCAAGACACTCGTCGCAAGCTTTGGTGAAGAGCGGGCATGAGGATGTCACGTGGGCAAAGTCGCAGAAGATTACAGTGCCACTGAACGAAACTGTCACGACTAGCGGGCTCTGGGAGTACGAGGTTGAAGAAGTGCACGACGGCTTTGGCAACATGGTCAATTTCGCCGCTCTTGACGATGACGAGAGGCCAAAGCACAAGGCTACCGGGCTGCGCCAAACGTTCCAGGTCCACGAGCGCCCTACTATCTTCTTGAAGGGCTGTAGTCCTCAGACCCCAATCAAAGTTGCCAGGAACAATGTCGAGCGCCTCCCTGTCGCCTACAGCTCAACATCTCGAAAGGCAATCGAGGCCCCGCACACAATCTCATACATCTTTACTCCGGAGCAAGACATTGTCACAGACGGATATCACAGTGCGGATGCTAAGCTCAAGAAGGAAGTCATGCGGAGCACGAAAGAGCAACCCCTCATCCAAGCCCCTGGCCTATACACACTGAAATCGGTATCGACCGACTTCTGCGAAGGCGAGGTCCTTGAGCCCACCTCTTGTCTGCTCCAAAACCCGCCAGAGCCAAACTTGAGCTTGACGAGCGACGACATTGTCGACAAATGTGCAGGCAACCCCATCGGGCTCCAAGTCAGTCTCAACCTGGTGGGCAGCCCGCCATTCACTGTCTACTACAGCGAGTATTTCAACGGACGAAAGAAGCAAACACGACCGATCCAGATCGCCTCCCTTCGATGGACCACCGATTTCGTTCCAAAAGATGCTGGTCACTACAAGTACATTTTCGAAAGCGTTAGTGACGCTGTGTACAAGGATGTGCCCTTGAAGAACATCGAACTGCAGCAGAACGTCAGGCCTTCAGCACATGCCCGTTTCGTTGAAAGCAGACGGCCCCAGCAGGCTTGTATTGACGACACCGCCGACTTTGACGTACGCCTTTCTGGAGACGCGCCATGGAAGCTCGAGTACGAGATCGTCCACAACGGCAAGCGCGCCAAGCACACAGTTGATATCAGCGACGAGCACTACACCATCCGGACAGACAAACTTTCGAGCGGTGGCGAGTATGTCGTCACCCTTACGAGTGTCAGTGACAAGGTGGGATGCAAGGAGTACCTGCAAGAGGAAGCCAGAGTCAACGTACGACACGAACGACCCAAAGCCTACTTTGGTCACATCGAAGGCCGCCAAGCTGTCAGGGCTTTGGAAGGCAGGACCGTCGGACTGCCGCTGCGTTTCACCGGTAATGGTCCCTGGAGACTGGAGTATGAAAATCTGGCGACGAAAGAGATCAAGAAGGAGACTTTCCAAACGGCCAACTCATTCTTGGACGTCAAGACCGATGGCACATACCAGCTCCTGTCTGTCAAGGACTCTGTCTGCCCAGGTCTTATTGAGGAGAAGGCTAGTCAGTTCGACGTGTCTTGGGTTGCACGACCAGCGCTCAGCATTGCCGAGACTCCTGCTATCATTGTAGAGGGCGGCAAATACATCCGGGATGCGGTTTGTGAGGGTGAAGATGACTCTTTCGACATTTCGCTGAGTGGTGAGTTTGCCAAGCCCATCACATATCATCTTTACTAACATGGACACAGGAAATGCTCCATTCGATGTTTCGTACCGCGAAGAGCTCAAGGACAAGAGGGGTAAGAACGTCAAGGTACAAGAAAAAGAGCTTCATGCTACTAGTGGCATCACGTCCATCAAGGCCGACACTGCTGAAGCAGGCACATACGAATACACGTTTGTGAAGCTTGCAGACGCCAAGTACGACCACTCAAGGAAGCACTTTACGCCTGTCGCAGTGCGACAGATTGTCCACCCACGTCCGAGCGCTCGCTTTGACAAGCCTGGAAAGACGTATAGCTACTGCTCCAGAGAGGCTGAGGGTGAAGAGGTCATCCCAATCACTCTCGAAGGTGTGCCACCGTTCCATCTTGAGGTCGAAATCAAGCACCAAGGCACACCAAAGCCGGAACTCAGCGTCCACAAGAACATTCCAGACAACAAGTATGATCTCAAGATCGAACGCAACAAGCTCAACCTTGGCCAATCGTCCATCTTCATCCGCAAAGTACGCGATTCGCGTGGCTGCACGCTTAAGCCGCAGCCCAACAGCAAAGATCGCGTCCAGATCAGCGTGTTCGACGCTCCTACCGCTACTCCCCTTGAAGATCGCACCGACTTCTGCGTTGGCGAGCGTCTGTCTTACGCTCTTAGCGGCCAACAACCATTTACCGTCTATTACACCTTCGAAGGCAAACAACGCAAAGCCTCCAACCCTGGCACAAACTTCCGCCGTCTTGCCGAACTCCCCGGAACCTTCACTATTACCGGTCTCCGCGACTCAGCCTCTGAGTGCCTCGCCACTCTCAACCTTGAGAAGCACATCCACCCTATCCCCTCGGTCAAACTCTCTGGCGGCCAGGTCAGCGAGATTGACATCCACGAGGGTGGAGGCACCGACCTGGAATTTGAGTTCTGGGGCACGCCGCCATTCGAATTCACATACACACGCAGTACGAATGCGGTACGTGGCAGGAAGAGTAAAGTCTTGGAGGTCAAGACGGAGAGGAGTGAGGGTCATCATTTGAGAATCCCCGTGCAAGAAGAGGGCACGTATGAGGTTGTAAGCATCAAGGACAGGTGGTGTAGTTTTGCGAGAGAGGGTTTGGATGTCAAGAAGGGTGGGCAGAAGATGTTGACGTATTGAGCTCGCATGTGGTGGACGAAGAGTAGGATGAATTGGGATGCATAGATTGGCGTTTGAGTCATTATTTCCTGAAAGCGGGTTTTTCTCTTTTGGTTGAGATGGGCATAGTTGGAGCGAGTAGCATTTAATTGCAAGTCTGAATTTTATTACTGTCCTCCGTTGCTGGCTTCATCATCGCAAAACTTCTCAAACACCTACCTCTCAGCCATCCGCGCTGTACACATCCTCCCTCCTCCCCGTCCAAACCACCCCCCTCAAAATCCACCCAAGAAACCACGCATCCCCCCACGCCTCATCAAAATGCCCCAATGCAATGTAAAAACTCCTCCCCCCCTCGAACTCCTGACACCACGCCAGCGGATGATCCTCCCCCATCTTGCCCCCTTCGAACGTGCTCGTATCCCCCCCTCAGCAATATCTCCAAATTCCCATTCTCCCTGGGATGAGAGGTGAAATTATACCACTCATCCACCCAGCCCTCCCTTCCCTCGGAATTAGACGGTACGAAATGCCCCTCATTATCCTTCTCCACGATCAACGTGCCCGGCGAGGGAGGCGGGTGCATGTCAAACGCCGCGCCGCATAATTTCGCATACCAAGCATCACCAGGCATTCCTGCGGCGGCGGCGTGGATGGCGACGACGCCGCCTCCGGCACGCACGAAGTTTTTCAGGGCAGAGAGTTGCAGGGGAGTGAATATGGGGCCGAGGGTTTGCAGCAGGATTATTACGGAGAAGGGGGCGAGGAGCGCGGGGGTGAAGAGGGTGGCGTCTTCGGTGGCGGTGAGGGTGAAGTGCTTGGTTGTTTCTGCTAGGGAGTGTAGAGCGCGGATGGAGGCCGGGATGGAGTCGTGGCGGTAGCCGGAGGTTTTGGTGAAGACGAGGACGCGGAAGGGTGGGGTTGGTGTGATAGTGGGCGCCATGGTGGTTTGGGGGGAGTGTCGGTTCGGCTTGGGGACAGTAAGGCGTCAAGGCTTGTGTAGACGTGATAAAGTCAGCATTTGGACAACTCCTCGATTGCAAAAGAATGCGTAGGAATTAGGCTGATCGGATCATTTGAAATGTGGATGACGTCATTCCTTATATTCCTCCGCGGTATATACATGTTGTCACTTATGATGGACAGCGACTAGGGTGCCTGCAATCCTACCATAGAGCTATCGCATCGTAGTGAAGGGCTAGCGATACCGAATAGCTTCAGGCTGTCGAATGCTTTTTGTCACTCTCTGTGGTAGCTGACAACATGCTACGACTATCCGGCCGTGATTTCATACGGACTCCCTAGTCCTGTCTTCTGCAATCCTCGTCTCGTCCATAGTCGATTTGATCTTTGCGATACTGATCGCGCTCCTAGTAAGTCCGTCCGCACTAAAGACCATCCAATCCACACGCTCACGAATGGGCAGACCGTGGTCCAAGCGAGATACTGCCACAAGGACAAAATTGAACAATCTATCTAAATTATCCAGGCAGGTGTCCGTTTCGATATAGTACAGAGGATCGAATGTGAGATGCCCCAGGCCCTGGACCTGTCGAAACGGGACGTCCTCTTCGCTGAGCTTTTCATTGCCCTTGCGAATACTCGCAGTATCGACATTGATAGTGATAGTCTTGACGCGAAAGTTCGGGTTGCGTTTCGGCATGTCAGTCCCCTCAAACGACATAGTTGAAGTACCACTGCGCAGAAAGTGACTGATGATCTCGAGGAAATCGAGAGAGGTGGCCCAACTGGCAGAGTCTGTGACAGAAGACGCGTTCTCGTCCTCATCCTCACTGCAGCAGTGTATGAGGTTGATTTTCAGGTCTTCAATCACGTAGTCTATCTTCGTGCCTGGGATGTACGTCCATGTCGGCCAGATCCAGTGGTTGTTGACGATTGCTATGTCGAGCTCGAATGCCCGCGGCGCTTTTGAGAAGTAGAAATCTGCTTCGTAATGCAGCTTTTTGCATACGAATAGCAAGTTACGTGTGTGGCTGGGCCATGAAGCATCTATAGTCGGGAAACACACGACGGCTCGACTTTGCGGTCCCGGCCTGTAGCGCTTCTGATTGGGACTTGAAACGTATGGCGAAGAGTCGACATAACGGATGATATCGAAGAGAAGTTCATTGGGAAGATCTAGGAGTCCTGGCATGATTCGATGTACTGGGTTTTGTCATGGTGGAAAGAGCGCTCTGGGAAAACGGCTGTCGGCTGTCGCATCAGCCCCGCTCGGAGAGAGGTCCATCGTCACCTGCGTCTTCCACCCATGACACCAGTTTTTCCCTCTTGCTCATCACATTCAATTCCTCGTTCCAAAACCCTGCAAACATTCAACAATGCATTAATGGAAACATCAGAAATAAAGCCGAGGTGGAGTGAGTGGAGTGGCTCATGTGGCGCAGCGTCCGACAAGCGTTAGCGTAAATGACTCACTTTGGCTCACACGAAACTGCGACAAGGCATTCATACTCGCAGGAGTCACGACTCCATATTAGGCTTAGACCAGTGTATGTCTTAGGATGTTGCGATCAGAGTATCATTCTAGCATATAATAAAGGTCGCGAGTTCCCTCAATTGACCGTTCATCAAGATCTTTACATTCTGCTTGTTTGCATGTTTGAGATACCCCATCTTTTTGTCTTTTTCGAAGCTTCCATCGGTATCATACTTGGCAATTCTTAGCAATGGCGGGCATCAAAGACTCACAGCATTATGATGCAATTCGCATCAACTCGAACGATACCGCGTTGTGTATCATTGCACCAGACACAGCATGCGGAAATGTTGACCGACTCCGCGAACTATACGACAAGGCCTACGGGAAGTGGCCAGCACACATCAACCTCGTATACCCATTCGTTGCACCGGAGAATCTTCCACGAGCACAAGAGCAACTGAAAACATACTTTGACGAACATCTCGACACAAGCAAATCACGCACGACGATACTCTCGGACGCAGGTATCTTCAAGCATCGCAACAATAGCACCGTGTTCCTCCAGGAGAGTCAATCCCAATCAGATTCGTCTCTGGCTTCGCTCCGTTCAATGGCGTTGCAGGCTCTTGGCCAAAAGCCCGCGCCCAGCAACTTACATCTCACCATTGGACAGACCGAAAACAACACGCTCTTCTCACAACAATTCTTGCTAAGTAAGGCTCGACTTCTTCCCAAGCTACAATTTCGGATCGGAGCGCTTGCTATACTCGTTCGCGATCGTTCGGGTCCTGACGATTGTATGAAGTTATGGGGCGTGATTGATGTAGCTCGCCCGGAAGAGGCCTGGAGGCCTTCTACACCAGAGCACTGGATTGGGCAATTTCCCACGGTGGCCACCGACTTGCATGTTGGAGATAACGAAGGAGGAGAAGCTGTTGTCAAGAACATCTCAACCGCCAACCGTAACCTACAGTCGGGGCCAATATACTGCTTTGATCCACACCAAAACGCTTGGTCAGTGTGCGAGAACACCAGCAAAAACGGCACAGATGCGAGCAACTTGAAGATTTCGAGTTACAACGTGCTCATTGACTCCGAGTACCCTCCAACGCACGAGCGTGATCCATTTCTCATATCGACGATCCTCTCCGAATCCGCCGCGGCGGATGTCCTAGTGCTCCAAGAGGTCTCCGACGACTTCCTGTCGTACATTTTGAGTAATCCAGATATCCAGGAACGCTACCAATACGTCTCGCATGGCCCACCAAGTCAGTCAGATATTGGTCCACTTCCTAATTTGCGCAACGTCGTCATTTTAAGTCGCTGGTGCTTCAGCTGGAAGTTTGTATCTTTCCAGCAAAAGTATAAAGGGGCGTTAGTCGCTAAATTCGGAGGACTCATCTCGAATGAAACGTGCAGCCAGCAGGGTCTGGTGGTTGCTGGCGTTCATTTGACTGCGGGTCTGACCGATAGTTCAGTAGCAGCGAAGAATCAACAGCTCCAGGCTCTGAGAGACTATCTCGTGGATCAACACGACGCGGACGCTTGGGTCATCGCAGGAGACTTCAACATACCCACCTCGACATACACTATCGATACTGCCTTGAAGGACGGAAGCATTTCGAAAGAAACTGTTGCAACGCTTTCCTCGATAGAGACAGAATTCAGTGATGCTGGATTGATCGATACCTGGGCAGTCGCTCGCGTTGAAGCAACTGACGAAGTGGTATCCAGCACCTATGACGAACTATTTGATGGTGAGGAGGGTGCTACGTTCGACCCAAGGAACAACATTCTCGCAGCAGCTACGTCTGAGACTTCTATTGGACGACCACAGAGATATGACAGGATCCTTGCACGATTCCAGGACAATTTCAGAGTCTCGCGATGCAACCACTTTGGACTGCCCTCTGAAGTCGACGGCTCACAAGTGGTTCCCAGCGACCACGCAGGTATCAGGTCTACCTTGGAGTTTCTCAAGCCTTCGACCGCAACCGAGGGGCAATCTCTTGAGCAAGAGAATCGAATGAAAATAGCACTCAAGCGAGCGGGCCCATGTCTATCTCAGTCTGCTGAACTCGATTCGGTCCTCGCTTCCGGAGGCATGTTCCCCTCGGAAGAGGAAGTACAACAACGCAAGGACGCTCTAGAGATTCTCAAACGGGTTGTTTATGGTACTTCTAGCGATGATGTGACATCAACGTCTGATGTGCCAATGATTATCGTTCCAGTCGGTTCATATGCTCTCGGCGTGTGGACATCCGGATCTGATATTGACTGTCTTTGCATCGGCACCATCAGCTCAAAGACTTTCTTCAAGCTCGCTCGACAAAGGCTCGTCAAGGCGCACGACCAGGGTGTGCGCGTTCTGAGAAAGGTTGAGGCAAACACTGGTACCATGTTGGAACTGTCCGTATTGGGTGTGGCTATGGATCTACAGTATTGCCCAGCTGCTAGGGTAGTAGAAAGGTAAGCAATGCTGCAATAACGCCTTGTTCGTAAGTACTGACCGGTCTCTAGATGGTCTGAGTTTGCAGGTCTTCCAGCATCAGATCCTATTTTCAACCTCTCCATTCTTTCGCTGCGCAAGCTCAAGCCTTACCGGGATCTGCTCTACATCCAAAGGACCCTTCCATCTCTCTCTGCGTTCCGATTAGCGTACCGATGCATCAAGCTCTGGGCTGTTCGTCGCGGCATCTATTCTGCTAAATTTGGATATCTCGGAGGTGTACACATCACTCTCATGCTTTCATGGGCTGCAAAGTGTCTCGCTCACGATTCTGGCTCCATCACAGCTCCAGACTTGGTTTCAAGCTTTTTCCATCATTTTGCTCACTTTAACTGGACGAATGATATGATGTACGATGCCTTCTTTCATAAGCAGAAGCCCCGCTACCATCGCAGCGCAAGGGAGCCTATGGTAGTCTTGGGCTTTCATGCACCCAACTCGAACATCGCGCACACATCCACACTGCCTGGACTACATACATTGGTCAGCGAGATGAAGGCAGCTGATGAAGCTTTATCGGATCCAAGCATGACCTGGAAGAAATTCTTCGGGTCGACGGATAATTCACCTCAGGCGGCCCTCAGTCCGATCTCTGGCGCCAGTGACTTCTTGAGCGCCCATAGCAGTTATGTCAAGATTGACATCCAATTTTGGGGCCGAACATTAGCGAAGGGAAAGAGCTTGGTCGGATGGGTAGAGTCAAGATGCCTGTCACTCGTTGTCGACATCTACAAAATGCTTCCAGACCTTGCTGTACGTATATGGCCAGCACGCTTTACCGACAGTGACACGATCGAAGGCGGTGACTATCACGGCTGCTACCTCATTGGACTTTCCAGGCCCTCAAACGAGCACGCCTTAAACACCCAGGAGGACAAAGCTAGTGCAAAGCAAGCTCTGGACAAGATTCTGGACAGGTTCCTCACACAGCTCAAGACAGACGAGAGGAACTACGATTCAAGTGTATGCTGGATTGATATATCACTCGCCAAAGCCAACGATGTTAAGAGCTTGCGCCTAGACGACCGCGAATGGGGCGACTACGTTGCGGAACTAGACCCTGACTCGGATGACGAGGAGGAAATCGAAGAGCTCTCGGATGATGTCGAGGAGCCACTAAAACGAGCAATTCCGCAGCGCCCCAAGCCAACCGCAACTCCCCTCTCTTCCTCGAAACTTCGCCCAGCATCTGACGTCTTGCACCGCTTGCGATGGGATCCGAATCTTGATCCAGCTGAATACATCATTGGTTATGAGGATCGCTTCCTAGGCCCTAGGGAGACGGGACTGGAGAAGTGGAAGACTGAACAGACGGACGACGAATTCATCCCGCAGCATCGGATCCTGTACTTCAAGAAGAAGGTGGCGAGAGTGGTGATGGTGAGGTAGTATGGGAAAGGTCGACCAGGATCGACAAGATCTTTGGTAGTGGTGCTGGTGCTGGTGGTACACATGTTGGAATAGTAGGCGCAGAGATTTGTATATAACAATCTGGTATATCTGAGACCATTTGGAGAAGGACTCTTCCCTGGACTTCAGGACATCCAGTAACTTCATTCTGCTGCAAGAGTTCTCCAACCACGTTCCCACTTCTGCTGAAGATCTCCAGGCTGCTGTGTAGTACGGAGCCGTGAGCGGTGCTCTAGCCTTCATGTAGTATCAATATGTAATCAAAGGAGATTTTGAAGGAGGTTTGTGCAGCGCTGTGGCTTGCACGGCGCATACCTGGCTTTTCCCGAAGCCTTCTTCTCCTCCATCTCCGCTATCTTTGCCGTCTTCTTCTTCTCTACATCTGCACGTCATGCTCGGTTCTCTTTGGCTACTTGCGATACCTCCTGCTCATTGGCCTCGAGACAAGCAAAAGCATGGCGGTAATTCTGCAGCATGCGCGGATTTTGCGCCACCTCCTCGTGGAACTGCGGACGCAGCTCAGAGGACTTCTCGAACTTGTCCTTGTTCAAATGACGACCTTGTTCCCCCAGGCGCTGGATGCGGGACCCATTCACAATGCCGCAGAGGTTCGTCACAGGTTATGTTGTGATGATGTGTGTGTGTGTGTGTGTGTGTGTCAGTTGCAGAGAAATAGTATAGCGAGCAATTTTGTGAAAGGTCTTTCCAAGGTTCCTATACAACACCATAAATTGATTGTCGTGCATTCAGAAGGCTTGTGCAGCTTTCGGATGATTGCTATCCCACTTCAAGTACGTTGAGCCTCGTCGTGGAGTCAGACATGTACTCGCTCCAAATGGCAAAGAGCTTGTGCGGTCATTGGACGTGATATCGGCGGTAAGACTGCTTCCATATACGCCGGCGGTCCGAACCTTGCAGTCGGCGTTTAGCGAGCGAATTGAGGGGCAAGTCATCCTGCAGGATGGTCACGCCCGCAGAAAGCCGCGGTGTAGAAAGTCATCTTGTCTTGAAACAGTAATCTTCGCCGATGTCTAGACGCTGCGACCTACCTCGAAGTCTTTTATCGCTACTCTGAGCAGACTGCAAATATCCTATATATTTAGTGCCGCGTCTTTTAAAGCCGTTCACAAAAGTCTGTCCCTCCTTTCTCTTGTGTGAGTGTTGCGAACATGATCGGTGCAATTGTGCTGCTTGCTGCGGTCAGCTTGCCATTTGTGAGGGCGCAGAACGAGACAATGGAAGAACCCACAGAGTTCCTCTATCCTCAAAGCTGTGTGAGCACGGATTCCTTCATGGTGCTCCATATACTGATTCCTCTCTCAAGTGTGCAGCCCTTGCAACTGGCCCTCTAAAAGCCCACATACTGCACCCAGGACACAGTGACTTCGATTCACGATTGCGATCATACTTCGATGTCAAACAGCAATCGATAAAACCCAGTTGCATTGTGCAACCAAGGAACACCGAAGAGGTCTCAACTGCCGTGAAAGTACTGTCTGGTGCCGGTTTTCTGAGGCAGTGCGGTTTTGCGATCCGTAGTGGCGGGCACACACCTTATGCCGGCGCTTCTAACATCGAAGATGGAGTGACCATCGACCTGCAGTACATCAGTTCCATTGAGTACAATGAGAAGAGTAACCTTGTCAAGGTTGGTCCAGGTGCGAGCTGGCACGACGTGTTTGCTACTCTCGAACCTCTCGGCGTCATTACAACCGGCGGTCGATCGGCTACAGTTGGAGTAGGAGGACTAACGTTGGTTGGTGGGATCTCATATTTCACGCCTGAGCATGGCCTCATCTGCGATAACGTGCTTGAGTTTGAAGTTGTTCTTGCAGATGGTCGAGTTGTGACAGCTTCGCAGACCAGTAACTCCGATCTCTTCACGGTCCTCAAGGGCGGCGGCAACAATTTTGGCGTCGTGACGGCCCTGAAGTTCAGGACGTTCCCTTACAAGGGAATGTGGGGTGGCCTAGTGACTTATCTCAGTACGACCATCGACGCACAGTTCAAGGCATTGGCCAACTTTGCCAACAATATGGATAAGGACGTCAAAGGCGCCGTCATTGTCATGCCAGCGTACATGAGCGCTGTTGGCATTGATCTAGTCGCGAATACATACGATTATGCAGATCCTGTAGTGAAGCCCCCGGCTTATGATGAGTTCATGGCAATACCTGGAAATATCTCAGATGCCACAGGGCTCAAGAACATGTCCACTCTTGCCAAAGAGTTGGAACAGCCAAACACTTACAGGTAAGCCATGAAGATGCGTGATCTTGAGGTCAACTGACGTCAACTTAGTGTATACTTTGGTACTCTCACTTTCGCAAACGATTTGAGAGTGCTGACCAAGTCCTATGAGATCTATGTGGAAGTGCTCGCGAACCTCAAAGCCAAGGCGACAGGAGACTGGGGTATTTATACACTTTACCAACCATTGGCACCCGCATACTGGCGACAAAGCGCCGAAAGAGGTGGCAACGTACTCGGGCTTGACCGTTTTGGTGATCAGGTCCTGTGTCGTAAGTGAACGTGTTCTTGTCAAACCTTTAGATACTGACATCACCCCCAGTATACCAACCGTACATATATTGGCAAGGCTCAGAGCAGGATACGCTCTTCCAGACGGCTGGCGCGGACCTCGTCAAAAATATCCGGGCGTATGCCGAAAGCATTGGCGCCGATAATCCGTACCTGTACATGGGCTATGCGGACAAGGAGCAAGATCCGCTTGCAAGCTATGGTCCAGAGAATGTGAGGAAGATGAAAGCTGCTGCACAGAAGTACGACCCCGATGGTGTTTTCCAAAAGCTGGTCCCGGGCGGCTTCAAGATCTCCAAGGTTCAGTAGAACGAACGGTGCAAGTAAGTTGGATATAACCCGAGGACGATTCGATATCATCAATTCGCAGTCATTATGTTGATAGATATCTCGGCGGCACCAGGCAACGGCGAATTTCGTGCCCGCTCTGCACCTATACGACGTGAGCTAGTCTTCAGAGGTAAATATACCTATTATAAGTTTCTAGTAGAGCCTAGATATGTACGCAGCTACAAGACTCTCTATCTACTTCTAGAGAGATGTTTGAATACACATATGCTACCTCTTTACCCTTCTCGTTTGGAAAGGACAGGCAGGAAATTTGCCCGCGCCTGGTGGCGGCACCTGAAGGCTTGCGATCATTATGTAGTGAACGTTGTTTCTGGAGATAGGTAGATATGCTTTCCTAGGCTGCGAACAAATCACGACCATTGAATGTAGAATTTTCTCGAATGCATTTCAGATGGAGATCCTTGCGGAATCGGTAGCAATTGACCAAGAAATTTACATCGCAGAATTCGACCTCGGGAGTGCCAGACCTAAGCAGCGCCTTGGCATCATGTGAGAGCACGTTGACATACTGTTCCCGAAGTCACTGCAACGAGACCATTTTCAAAATCTTTCCTCGTGCTTCCTTACTATATATGAGTGACTCCCATGAACCAATGGAGGCTGACCGAGTATATCGTTTACGCGCAGCGAAAAGCCATGTCACTTCCGTCGTTAAGAAGGCGTGATTGCTCTTACCTCAAACATCTTACCAGTCACAGAAGCATGACTGCACAGTCGCTCTAACGCTGCCTATTAGGCACCGACATAGGCTAGCTAGCCCACATCGGTGCTCGAATACAGCGCTTTTTACTCCTTTTGTCGAATCCTTCAACCAACCTCGACCCCCGCAAATTCAATCCGTGCGCAACCATGGACGACCGCGATTACTACGCTGATCTAGGCCTTACGCTGTACGCCAGTATGTCTCAGATCAAGGCAGCCTTCCATGCCCTCGCTAAGCAGCATCATCCCGACAAGTCAGGCAGCTCTGATACCACGGCCTTTCGATGCATCCGAGAGGCCTTCGAAAAGCTTTCAGATGTCGAGTTCAAGATGGAATACGATCGCAACTTCCGAGGCAAGCGAATGCATTTCGACAGTAACGTCGGATATGGTCCTACCAGAACCGCCGCATATGAGGCTGAGGTTGCAAGCGAGGCCAAATCCGCAAAGCAATCGGCGGATGAAGCATATGATGAGATGGTGAGGCGATCTCCACCACCAAAGCCGCCGGCGCGCAAGTTCAACGAGTCCGGTCGGTCGTACTTCTTCTCCAGGGCATACACGGCATGGGCAAAGCGTGACACTGTCTACCGTCAGAAACACCCCACCTACGATGAAGCGTAAGTTGCCCAACTGGAATGCATCATTTCCCAGCTTTCAGAACGTATCCATGTCACTAATACAACTGTAGTCATTCCAATGCCTCTGCGACAGTCTCATCGTCCGGCACCAAGGCACACGGATTGACGGTCCAGATGAGCTCGCACCCAGCCGCTGGACAGCGCTGCACCTTGCGAACCTCAGACTGGCGTCAGACTGTTGGTTCTGACTCGTGCGTGTTCTGCCTGAAGCCAGTCACGAATGGTAATCGATGCCCTGGCTGTCAGGTGCTGGCCTGTCCAACTTGTTCATTCCAGATTGCGGCGGCGGAGCGGAGCAGTGCGTTCAGGGGATTCTCTTCGACGAAGTACTTTGCTGCTGGTGGCTAAGAATGGAGGAGTGCTGGGAAATGTCGGAACATTTTCCAAGCCGCTGTATAAGTTCAGCTAGACTATGGAAACGCTAGCGTGGGGCGATTTGGGGCGTTCAGTGCTGTGCCCTACTAGTCGACATACAGTATTACCCGAGCGCGTAATCAAAAAAAACTCCTGCTAATTATGTTCCTCTTGGTCGGAAAGGATCCATGCTGTATGAGGTGACGATTCGCTAAGAACAGACAATAAGATATGTGTAAGAGAAGGGAAGGATCTTTATTAGACGACATTTGAGAAGTCTCACGTAAGCCCGGGAATTGAGGACACGTCAGGCTCCCTCGGATAGAGGATGTTCTGCACAAAGATAAGGAAAGGGGCGTGCTGTAGTTCATGTGCTTGAGCGCCGAGTGATGTGTACGATGACATCACCGGAAGACTTGTATCGGCATGCTGTAATGTCATCGGGAAGAAGCACAAACGCTTTACCACATGAATGATTTCAATGCACTTTGAAATTCACAACTTCGAGATGTGAAAGAGTGGAATTGACTTCTGTGGCTGTTGGCGCACCACGTTTGCTGGGCACGTTCGCATATTATTAGCAGTTTGCGGAACGTGACACGCGATCGGCCGTCAGTCCCACCTACCGGGCATCCCTACGTAGGCGCGCACCCCACAACGGCTCCATTTTTCGGAGACATGGACGCGCAAGCGGCCAAGGCCGGTTTGGTATCGATGATTGAGGGGTGCAGCATGGGTCATTGATCGCGCAGCGTGCCTCATCCTGGGAGGCGGAGCAAGGGTCGGTGTTTTGCATATGTTCGCTTCCAGCGTCTCATGGCAACAACTGGCCACTGCCAATGCTTCCATGGCGCCACTAACGTTTACTTCCCTTGGTTGATCTGTCGCGAACACTCTCCTTCCTTTGCAACGATCAGGTTTCGGGCATCTCAACTCCTAACACTGTAAACATTTCGCTACCATTCAACTTGGTCAGCACCCTCCGGCTACACACATTCCACCGCTACAACACGTGGTCATCTTTTCGCCTTCGAGATCAGCCGGCCTGTCTCCGTTCTCACGTATTCGCACCCAGGACGCGACACAATCACTTTCATATTCGCATTCTAACATGATGGACCTTTACCGAGCCACCTTTGCTGGCTCAGTGTTGCTTAACACGTTAGCACTCTATCAATCACATCGTTCACGGAAGGCAGAGCTTTCGGCATCGACACTCTCAGACAAGAAGGACGACCAAAGTCATGAGGCGTCTGACAGAGACAGCTTGCGCCAATTGAAATGGCGCTTCTTCCCAATATACCTGTTAGTGAACGCTGCAGATTGGTTGCAAGGGCCCTACATATACCCTATTTACAAAGGTATGCTGCAAAGTATATATGCACAACATGAGATAGGCTAAGCGATACACAGATGAAAAGGGTCTTCCAGAGGAGACTGTTGCATTTCTCTTCCTCATTGGATTTGTCTCAGCCGGTATATCCGCCTCCTTTGCTGGCAGCTTTGCGGATCGACATGGCCGCCGGACAGCTTGTCTTGCTTACTGCGTCATCTACTCCTTGTCCTCTTTCACGCTGTTGAGCGACAACATATACGTACTATTCTTTGGTCGCATTCTCGGAGGCATCTCTGGAACTCTACTTTGGAGTGTCTTCGAAAGCTGGCTGGTGGCAGAGTTCAACAAGCTCATGTTGGAAGAGGCAGAGGCAGATACAGCTATGAGTGCCATCTTCAGCTTGATGACCACTTCTAACACATGTGTCGCGATCGTCGCTGGTCTGATTGCCGAGTGGCTAGTACGAACCACCGGAACTGCGAAAACACCATTCATGCTATCAGCAGGTTGTCTCTCTCTGGCGTTCTTGGCCATCACGAAGTACTGGGTAAGTCAATGCGCTCAACTCTCCATTCTATAAATGACTAACTTGTCCAGGGAGAGAATTACGGTGCCAGCAACCGCGCTTCCGCGGAGGGTGCAGCGCTTCTGCAACAAGAAGAGGCGGAAGCCAAGCAGCCGCCAACTTCCACTCTGCGATCGATTCTACGGGGTGTGTATGGTACAATTCAAGTACACAGGATAACATGCTAACTTTACAGATCGCAATATCTTGGTCCTGGCCTTAACATCCTGTTTCTTCGAGGGATCACTTTTCTTGTTCATATTTTTCAAGTTCCCCGCTCTGAAGCTCAGCCACAAACTGGCAGGCTCAAAAGAAGGCAAGAATCATTGCCCGTGACCTCATCGTACAGGATTTTACTAACGCAACACAGAACTGCCCTTTGGTCTTATTTTCGCCATACTCATGTGTTCCATGATGTTTGGTTCACTGACGTACAAGAGCATTTCTACCTCGGTAAATCCATGGCCAGCCCAGAGAATTCTCACAGGTGTCCTGGTTCTTGCGTCTCTCTGCTTCTTCATTCCCGGGCACGTTCGAGATGAACGCATCACCCTCTGGTGCTTCTGCATCTTCGAGCTTTGTTGTGGCGCTTACTACCCTGTCATGGCGTCGCTAAAGGGGAAGCTCGTTGACGATGGCTTACGAGCTAGTGTCTACGGCATGCTTCGCATCCCACTAAACGTGTTTGTCGTGCTTGCACTAAGCACAACCAAAGAAGGTACGAGCATTACCCCAGTTTCTCGGCAGACATGCTTTACTGACTCTGCGCTAGGTGAGGCGCACCGAGATTTAGTGTTTATAACGTGCAGTGCGCTCTTGATCGTTGCGGCAATTGTAGTTCACAAGGTCCTCGTGTAAGGTTTGCTAGGGTAGAATTACACAGCACAGAATAATTCCCAGATTAGCCACATCTTTAGATAGCCATATTGCAGCTGCATCAGCCTCAGTAAGAAAACATGATCATGACATCGAGCACTTTAACCGTTTTCTGGAAGCGACATCTGGATGCATGCATGACCCACATCCTCCCGCGGAACAATCTCGCATTGGGCAAGAAGGTCCTGAAACACCAATGAGCGATCAACAACCCCACATCCCCGCAATTCTAAAACGGGTCATACCACCGCGGCGGTTGTTACGCGTACACACTCCCTGTTTGCTATGTTCGGCAATTGTTTCATCACTTTCTCCAATGAGCATAATCCTCCCCTGGTACGCCCTGCACTCAACTCGACACTAGTCAGCAGTCTGACCGATAGCTTCGAGTGCGCATCACAATTCATAGCCCCCAGTGTCAGACCCACCCGCTGTCGTGTTTCGCTTGGCTGAGGCAGCTTACTTGACGACCTGGGCATGTGGAACTGGTTTCGACAGTCTGTTCCTTATTGTACACTTACCCTGACTTTCACTTCAACACTTCTGACAATCGTCATCGACTTTGTCCGGCTCAACCCGTAGACACTGTCGCCTCAATCTACACATTCTCTGTTCATCTACTCATACCACATACTGTTGCAGCCGTCATGTTCCGTTCCAGTGGAGGTAAGTAAACTATCGCAGTCCACGAGTAGGGCTAACCATATTGTTAGGCAAGATAGCCACCGTTCTCATCGTAGCCGTCGTCTTAATACTCGTACTTCACAACGAGGAGTCAGCGAGCACTGCACTATTACCATACCTGCCGGTACTACCATCATCGCAAAGCTCGTCGTCAGGGTCGAACGGTCGACTAGCATGGCTTCGCGAACGCATAGCACTATCTGAAAAGTCGTGGAAGAAGAGCGTGGATCAACGAGACCAGATGGCGAAGACACATCCGGACTACCCACAAGTTCCCTTCTTCCCGACAGACTTTTTGAAATACCCTTTCACAATCTGGGACTTCTTTCCAGCGACATGGACATGCCCACACGACTTTCAACGCGTCGGTCGCCTTGGTGACGGCGGCAAATGGGTCTGTGGCATGAGCCTCTACGAGAGCATACCTGCGCCGACCTTCCCATCCATCGACTCCGAAAAGAGTCGCGAAACCTCCGCCACGCCCGCCGACGCCGGTCTCGTTATCTACAGCTTCGGCATCAACGGAGAATCGTCCTTCGAAGCTGAAATGCTCGAACGCGTCCCCGCCGCACGAATCTGGGGTTACGATTTCTCTGTCGACGGATGGGGCAAACAGATCCCAACTTCACAACGCCACCGCACATTTTTCAAGAAGGTTGGATTGGGCAAGGAGGACAAACACGATAGCTCCCCGCCTTTCTACACTCTGCCTACCCTCATGAAGGAGAACAACCACGAGTACATCGATATCCTGAAGATCGATATCGAAGGCAGCGAATACGACGCCCTCGACACCTTCATGGACGCCTTCGACGGCATCAAAACCGCCTCGGGCAAATCAGTCCTACCCATCGGCCAAGTCATGATCGAACTGCATCTCGGCGACGGCGTGCACCTGGACGGCCCCAACGCTGGCGCAAACGTCGGGTTTGACCGTTTCAGGAAGTGGTGGGAGCGCTTGGAGCGAATGGGCATGCGCCCTGCGTGGATTGAGATTAATCTGTTCGCCGTCACCCTGGGCCGAGACAAGTCGGACCCCCGATGCACCGAGTACGTGTGGGTCAACGCACGGGACGAAAAGAGCGTCCTTTGGAGATAGAAGAGTTGCGGCTGGACTGGGCTCATTGGATGTTGTACATATGCATCGTTGGCGTTTGGCGGGGTCCGAAGGTTTCATTGATGAACGACATACATTCTTATTATTCTTAGAGGGAGAAGAAATGTGAGGTGACATTTAGCTCTGGAGTTCTGCTCGCTTCGAGGTTGTGTTACCCACGGCGCACTACGAAATGAAATTTGATTGAAGCGCTCCCCTCCACTCCTACAGACATTGAAGACTTCCTGGTGAACTCAATACTGAGCCTCTCCCAGATATTTTGCATTAAGAACAACAGAATGCCCAAACACCCTGCAAGCGTACTCCCAAGTCCGCTCTTTGCATACATTAACGCCAAGATTACTCAAGGTGTTTCAAGCTGAATCTCTGATGCAAATGACGGCCTTATCGATTTCGTGTCGACAGTCGTCTGCGCCAAGTCAGCGGCTTTAATTGACCCGATACTCACAACAATGTCGCCATGGTTAAGGCTAGAGATTGTAGGGTTGACATATGCCGGAACTATCGTTGGTGAAGTGAACATTCCCTCTTGATAGTTGGTAATAGTAGCACTGCTATCACTCAACCAGCCCAAACACTTTGCAAGTATCTTGTTTTACACTGGCATACTCTAGTTCTGCAGTATGCGCTAAGTATCTCCAATTCAATCGCATGCAAATCTACACTTTCGATGAATGTTGTACGTCACACTCGAATTCCTACGGGCATAATCTTGCGGAGTTTGTATCGAAACCTAGTCTCCTCGAGCTCCATGCGGATCCCGTCGTGGGGCCGCGGATTTAATGTAAATATTCCGTCCTACAGATAATCTTGGGTGGTGGGGCCAGTCCAAGTTCACCGAATTGTAGCCGTGAAGGCAAGCACTTTCCCTGGTAGCATGTTGAGCACTGCGAAAGTCCCCTGGCTGCATTCGTGTACATGCTAGCGGTTCACTGTCTGCTATCGAAGTTGGCTGGATGTACCCCAAATGCTGTGGCCCATGTGATATGTTGAATGGAGTCAGTTCTGGAAACGTTCACGGAAATTGGGGAGCTTGAACTATCAAGAGCAGATCTCAATTTCCAGCAAGACCTGGTAAACCAAACAGGACCTCGTGACCCCGGGCTGTATCTTTAAGAAGTTACAAGGTGTAAGTGCACAGTTTAGGGCTGACAGGCACGAGACGCGACTATATCGCGTCATCTGGTCACTAGTCAAGCGCCGGAACGCCTTATAAACGTTCTTCGAAGGAAAGTTTGGTAGCGTCAACTCAGGTATAGCGTCACAAAGGAACCTTGCCGCTTCTGAAACTCAAGCAATGCCATTATCCGCGAAGAAATAAAGCCATACAGATTGCTGCATCCCAAGCTTTTCTGCTCGAGCAGTCGCGCAGCAAGCCTGTGCAACCGGCGTGACCCTGGAAGGGTTCTTACAATTAATAGAACTATGTTGATGAATAGAATAGATGTGATTATGCGACAATTCGGACAGATAATGACAGCCTCGGACGATTTTATGTTTACAATCTCGAGACACTCTACGGCTTACTTGCTTGACTTTATATCCAAAACTGCAATCAATGCAATCGCGCCGGTCGCCAACTCTGCTAATTTGCTCATGTGAGTGTGCAGCTGATGTCGAATAAGCATTCGAACATGTTCCTGGACTAATATCGATAGCCAATGTTCAACAAAGCCTATCTTACGTCGGGAACTTCCTTCACTGCCAAACGCGCGCCACAAAACTCAAGATTCAGGCAGTAAGACGGCCGGACTTATTGCCATAGAACATGAAGTCGAGTGCTATGCCTTGAGATGTTTGCACCGGCCTGGTTAGCCTGGCGAGAGTTTGGTCTCTTCATTGATGAAGTCAGAATTCTTCGGACTGGACTACATTGCGCATGCTGCCCAGAAAAGTTGTACAAACCTTGTGAATGCAGGAGAATTAATATGTGTTGTTGCATAGGATCCTTGGAAGGACCTTTTGCAAAACTGCTCCATATACTTCTTCCAAAATCAATCAGTTGGTACGCCTCTCGAATATCATCGCTCTTCTAGCCTATCCTGTGGCAACGAGCATATTGCTTTAGAGAAAACAATCGCTCATGGCAGGGCTGTGTAAGTGGAGGGACAGTATCGAGCACCGACGACCTTGTGCCATCATAGCTACATAACCTTTTCTGGGCAAACACAGCACAGAGAAGAGTACAAAGCGCAAAAAGAAGAGCAAAAA